TTTTCAGCTCCGACTGACTCAGTTCTTCCTGTTCTGACTCCTTCAGAATAAGAGTCCTTATCAGAATAACGCCGTGAATAAACGCTGCAGAACAGACAACCTGGAATTAACGACCCACGTTTCTTGATCAGGATACAGTACATTATAATTATAGAGTCTGAAAGATCTCCTGATTGAAGCGGCGGTAATGTTAATGATGAACAGCAGGGGGCGCACTCACACTTCTCAACTTCTTCAGTTTTCTAAAGCTTGCAGTTCATCACACTTTATTCCACACACTTTTTTACCCAGAGTCCCTCTCTGCGCTGTATCTGACAGTTTGTTCACGTTATTTTCATTACATGTTTATGCTGAGCTATTTGTGCATCATCGGTTGCTCAGTAACAGACATAAACAATCGATTATCCACCTCCACCGAGTGGACTAAGATTTCCTAATTTGAGATAAGATGCTGTAAGATAAGATAAAAGTCCTAAATTAAGGTAAGATTTTCTTCTGTAACCTGAATGAGTGAAAACTCTCATCTTGACCGTCAGATCTAAGTTTAGGACTGTAAACAGGATGTTCGTGGACGAGCTCTTCCTCTCAGTGGAGAATCTCCATTCAGAAGGCTGTGTAGTCCAGGACTAGGCTTAATCCCTGTCTGGAGAATCAGCCCTGTGTTCCTCAACATCATTCAGTGACAGAGATTTCTGTTAGCTTTCAGCCACATTAGCCTTGTAGCTCCAGTGCAGAACTAAAGCTGATTGGTTAACATTACTGCTACTGAGAGCTGATTGGTTAGCATTACTGCTACTGAGCACATAAAACAGATAAATAAACACATTTACATGATGAAAACACAAACGTCTAAATGTTTAAATGCTTTTCAGATTGCCGATTTTCCCAGCTGGGTGTTTGTTCTCTTTTCAGGTGATCACTATGGGCCGGCTGCCCCAGCCATACGTAAGTTCAGATGTAGGCTAGTTTGAGGCTCACGACGAGAAGCGTTTACTAAGGTCAGGTTCACACGTTACAAATCAAAACGAGCTGCAGCTCATTAGCAGTTATGAAACATTTACACCTTCATCTGAACAGGGAAACCAACGGAAACCACACAGAAAAACAAAAAACAGAGCAAAACCGTGACTTTTTTGGTTGACTAAGCTCACTAAACGATATACGCAGCTCTAATCGTCCGAACATGAAGCTGAACACCCACAGCTCCAGGTCAGAGACTCAGCGTCACCGAAACTCTAAACTGAAGCTGCTGTTGTATCTTAAACGGCGGTTAAACAGCTGCAAAGAAAGGCTAAAGAGAATACAGGCAACGGCTACAATGTCATTCCGGTCTTTACTGGATGTTACTTTCACAGAAAAAGTGGTTTTGTTTCCATGGTAACATGTTTACCATGGTTCTGAACGTGTTCTCGTCGTGTTAGTGACGTAAATATTAGTTAGCTGTTACTAGTTAAGCCACGACTTTATGATTCGTGGTGAAATTCAGTAAAAGGACGGTTTGAAACTGCCCAGTGTGACTGAGACTCAGTAAAGACTTTACGCACAAACTAACATATAAACTCAGTCCTGATGTTCGACCGTTTGTTTAGTGAGTGAATCTTTTCTGCATGAAATAAAGTTTTTGTTGAACGAAGTTACTTTTATTCTCCTGCCTTTTATTTCGTTTATTTGTTCATTTTTTTTTTTACAATGCATTACAACTGTAAAGTTTACAAAAGGATTTACAATATGATTACAGGTCTGACAGCACGGATTAAAACGAGCCCAGCGTGCACACGGTCTGCATGTTCACTGAAACAGGCTACAGTGCAGGAGAGCCTCTGTGGCTGAGCCGTAACTCAGGATCTCTGACTGGAAGGACCTGAGGCTGCTCTTCAGTGCCTTCTGCTGGCCGGTCTGCGCTTTGGTCTTGTACTTCATCGTCAAAAGCTTGTCCACCAGATAGTGCAGCCAAAGGACATTGGAGTGAGGATTATACTCCCCCCAGCAGTTACTGACAGAAAGAAAGAGAGGAGAGACTCAAAATCAGAAATCAGTCACAGTAAAACGAAAGTAAAGTGCTTTTTTTTTCCATTTAGGATGAAGCAGACGTTCAGACTTAAAATGAGCTTTAAAAAGTTGCCGTTTTTGTCCATCAGGGCTGAAAAGAAAGCAACGTGGCAACAATATCATATCATGATACATAAAGACATCTTCACAATACACAATACGCATGACGATATTCTGACACCAGTGCAGCATTTAAAAACTGCAGCGATTCGGTCGGTCAGTCATGAGAGTTAATAACGATTAATTCCCACATGAATATCTGTGATAAATTTTTTTTTTTTTTGTTATCTGAACAAAGCTGTTAAAGTATAAGCCCAAATTAGCTGATTAGCTCTCTTCTTTCCTAGCGGTCAATATTTAGCACACCAACAGAAATAAACATTACTCACCGCTGCCCTCTAAAGGTGGGTCAGAGGAACTTTTGTTTTCAAAAATCCATGATGTGTCTCAATTAAAGAGTTTTCTAATTTCTTTTGTTTACATGCATTTGCTTCAAACTGACGGATGAAAACGCAGCTCGTTCGTAAACGTATGATCACAACTCTGGAAATCAACTGCGGCGAGTCTGAATATCTGCGATCAGCTCAAGTAACTGAGGTCAGGTGATAATGTAGTAACTGTGACTGACCTTATGATTTTTATTTAGTACTTCAAACACTGCGCTGCACTGCATCCAGTTAAAGAGGACTAAATATAGCCTCCATCGTGGGATTAAGGAAACATGAATCATGATTTGATTTGAACATCTGGTGGAGAAAAACTGCTGGAATGCTGTGAAGAGCAGTGATCCAGTTTACTCGGGGAACGTTGGGGCCCTGAAACCTACTTGTTCTCCTTCTTCATCAGACGGTAGATCTCGAACTGATAGTCTCCCTGGCCCATGAACAACTCCTCATCGTTCGCTATGTCACACGACACCGTCAGTCCATCTGGGGGCGATAAAGATCAGATCTGTAAGCTGTCATACGCTGAATTAGCTTCATAGTAACGGTAAAAGAGGCTGATTAATGTGAAGAGGAGAGAGAGCGAGAGAGAGACAGAGAGAGAGAGAGAAAGACAGAGAGAGAGAGAGAGAGAGACAGACAGAGAGAGAGAGAGAGAGAGAGAGAGAGAGAGAGAGAGAGAGAGAGAGAGAGAGAGTCAGAAAGTCAGAGACGCACCGATCTCCAGCCGGGAGAGCGAGTAGTCTATGATGTTGACGTGAACTCCTCGCGTCTCCACAGAGTGAACCGAGCCGTTCAGCACGAAGTCGTTATGCTTCTCCTTAGTGGTTTTCACCAGGATGTTCCCCCAGTGCAGGTCCCTGCAGAGACACAGTGAACGCAGGATATTCATTATATACGTAACACAGACACAATTTCAACTGTCAATACCCTCCAACCTCCTCATCGCCACTGCACATTCATCTTTATACCACGTCCAGCTGCAGGCCTGGAGGCCAAAGCACTGCACAGGTCATTTTTTCTGCTTTAATGGATGGAAGTCAGATAAGTTTTTAAACTGAAGGGTCCAATTAGGTGTTTTAACCCAGAGAACTCAAGAAAAAGAATTAACAAACAAGGTATTAACCTTATTAATTACTTAACACAGTTACAGTTTGTTACTTATCACCATAAACACAATACTTAAGATAAAAAATACAAACTGTATCCTTCGCATTAAGTCTATTCACAAAAATGTTCGATATAAACATCATAAACACAACAGCAAAAAAAAATATTTACACTGGACGGATATCTGACGTGATGTCTTAGAAGCAGACTAACAGAAAGAGTCTCTATTTTACAGAAGGTGTTCGCAGACATTTTATAACTCCATTCTATCCAGCGGTCAGACCTTTGAGGTGTGTTTCTGAAGTCCAAATTCACCCGACAAGGTCAGAAAAGTGTTTAACATTCCCAATCCACTCTGTGAGATCACAGTAATACTAGAGAGCTGTGGGATGGTTCTGCTGTGCAGTGTGAAAGGCTGAAACTCCCTACTTTGCTGTATGCTTGTTTTTTTAACACTAACCAAGAGAACAAGCAGTGAGATGATTTCATCATTTTATCATTCTCGCCCACAATCAGACACTTTAGCTGGAGGGTCTGACTGAAATCCAGTGTGGACACTACGGCTGAACGATTTGGGGAAGGCATAATTGCGATTTCTCTGACCAATGTTGCGATTCTCATTTTCTGTAAATTAATGTTCAGGCCTGTTTTTTGGCCAAGAAGACCTGCATATCCATTTTTTGTGGCATGAAGTTTTAACGCTGAAAGTCAGACTACCAGGTAGTTACGATGGTTGTGATGTCACATATACAGGGCGTTCTGTAAATTCTTTCAGCCCTAAGGGACACTCGCTTTTAGTGACCACATTCTTTAAATCTGCTGTCAATGTTCCAAACCTCCCACGTCTTGTGGCATGAGTGTGAACTGAGCTGCAGGTGCCAAATAAAACTCAGCTGACCTTTATTTAAGCGCTTTTAATGCTCCAAGAATACCAGCTTCTATTATATGTTGATTTTTCCCCAAGTCAGAGTTACACTACACCACTTTTACCCTGATTTTGTTGAGAGAGAAAATGGAGTAGCGAGCCTCCTGACCGCATTTAGGACCAGTTGGAGTTTATCAAACAATCTGATCGACACTGAGTATAATCGAGTAGTGTTTACTGGTCAGCAGCACCCGAACTGATTCCTCCAACAGCGAATGGAAACTGAGCGAGCTAAAGAAGAGAATGCAGCAGAAAATAAAGAAAGTAAAAAAAAAACTGAACACTCACAATTAAGTGCATGAACATCTAAAACTCTTAACTACCACACTGAACACTTCTTTACACCCACGACCCTCACCGAACCTTGTTTACCTGCTCCTTTTCTGCCTCAGCGCAAACCGCAGCGGTGAAAGCCGCTCCATGTTTGTTTATCCGCGCCTCCTAATAACGGCACGATGTGTAAGTTTACACAGGTTTGGAGAGCTCAGCTCGATTCAGCTACTTAGCTGTCTTAATATGTCTTAATATAGCCGCCCAAAAACTGCAGAAACCGGTCATACAGTAGGGGTGGGAATCTCTGGGCACCTCTAGATCTGATTACGATTCAGAGGCTGCGATGCAATTATAAAATGATCATCGATGCATCTTTTTTACTATACAGTATTTCTTTTTTCTCACTGTGTGAGGACTTCGTACTTTGGTACTCTTGTTTGGAGCACATGAGACGCTGCTGCCACTCATCTGTGATAAAATGTGCAGTTATGGTGACATCGGATCCTGTGGCAGTGGATGTCCACACATCATGTTACAGCTGTCCTACCTGTTTTTCTTCAGTGATTCTTGTTATAACTTCGGTTTTGGTCTCGTTGTGTGTGGGGGGGGGGATGCTGTGCCAGTAAAATATGTTCGAGACTGGACGCTGTATTTCGGCTCCAAAGCACCAACATAGCGCGAAAGCCCTGATTCTCAATGACCGAGTACGGACGCAAATCCTTGGCAATAACAGTTGCGATAGAGTTTGTAATTCGCCTCGTTCTTTCTGAGTTGGGTGAGAGTTCTGAAATCGCTTGCTCGATGGTCCTCTGGTTGGCAGCAACTACAACCAGGCGGAAAACGGGTGGAAACATGTAATATGGTCTCTCATGTTTGTCCTTTCCAAAATATTTTAGTTTAGTGTGACACAACTTGCATATAGTGTGGCTCCTCCCCTTTTCCCTTCAACTTCATGGCCTGATCCCATTTCTTATCCCCTTGTTTTCTAGTGTTGCCCCTTGGAACTGAGTTCCAGGGTAGTGGTTGAGATCTTCCCTCTGAAATGGGACCCTCAAATAAAAAGAGCATCACTTCATTAACAGCTACCAGCGCTGCTCTGTAGGCGACCCTGCCAGTCTGCAGTGACAGCAGAGGAGGGTAAAGTTCAGCTCCTCACTGCTGGGCTTTAGTTACATTTAGGGAGTCATATGATCTTCAAAGAGGGGGGCAATTATTTATTATCACCACCCCTAATTCTTCAGTGATATGAAGCTGAAGTCAGATATTCACCAGATTCCGTTTGAATTTTTCATTCCACCTTAAATGGTGCAGCAGTTCTGATGCCTGAGGTGCCACAATGTAACTGCTACACCATTTTAGGTGGAACAGGAAACTTAGCTACTGAGACGTCAGCACTGCTAGCATTTATTTATGCTTGTTATGAAGAGAAGAACCATAATACATCTAAACGACATTAAACTAAGAGAATACAGTGGTTATTGTAATTTTAAACAGAGAAAATTATCACATTTGTGGGTTTCTTTGGTCTCTTGTTCTCCATTTTGCCGGTTTTTCTTTTTTCCTCACATCTCTCTGTTTGGAGTCTCTGAAAAACCTCCGTTTGGAGGGTCATGTAGCCCCAACACTTCACCCTCCCCCTCTATCTCAACCACAAACAGGACACCCAACACCCAGACGAGAACACGCAAAACAGAGGGGTAGGGGAGAGGTGTGAAATGGGACTGGGCCCATAGAAGCCAAAGTGCTTCCATACTCTAGCTTTTAATGCAGAGGGTGCCGGTCGGACGTCTCGCTCATCCATCTTGTGCGCGTCACAGACTGTCCGGGCGCTGCACTTCTGCACTTCTGTGTACCGCCTTTTGTTTTCCGTCAACAGCTCATCAGTTAACATTTAGAAAATCATTTTCTGACGTGTGAATCGATTCAGAATCGTCTGCATACGAAGTATCAATTTTTCCCCACCTCCATCACTCAGTGTGAGCCTTCTATCATCTGTATTGTAACCAAGTGTTTAGTGTACAATCTACAGACACACTTCTGCACATTTTACTGCACAATTACTGTTTATTTACTGAATTTAACAACCTGTTTTTTTACAATGTGTCAAACTCAGCAAATAAACAGAATCTGTGCACTAAAATTCATATTCATATTTAAGTGTGATCTCTGTAGAGGATGTGTTACTTACTTTCACTTAGAAAATCAGCAGAACAAGTCATTTGACCAGAGGTGCTGGATTTGACTGTATTTCAGGAAAGACTTTGTAAATATGGCTCTTATAAACAGCGGGAGATGTGAAAGCGTGTCTGAGAGCGTGTTTAATAGAGTCTGCGCTTCTCTGAGTGTGTTACATTACCTGTGTTCAAAGCACAGAGCCTGTTCAGCTACGGCCAGCGCAGCAGTCACCTGGTGTAGAACACTTCTGGCCTGGGCCATGGAGGATAGCTATACACACACACACACACACACACACACACACACACACACACACGCGTAAACACACAAGCTGTGACTCAGACTCAGTCCTGAAGTTACAGTACAGAACTGCACCGTTTATATACCTTTCCATTCATGTTCTCCAAATCACTCCCTCCGAACTCGAACTCCAGGATCACAAAGAGCTGCTCCTGACCGAAGAAATCTGGACACAGACATTCTCATTAATATGTAACTGCAAAATAAACCACACACAGACACACATTCTCAATATATAACATAAATAAACGTCTCAATATATAACATAAATAAGCGTAATCTGCTGATACTTGATCCCACAACAGGAATATGCATCTGGAAATGGTCACACTGCTGTGGGGCAGTAAAAACGGCTGCACTTTACTGAAGGGCAGCGTTCACAAGCACAATACGGAGCTTTTCAGGCGCAATTTGGACACATTTTACCTGCGTGTTGTGTACGAGACTGTTATACGAGCCTCACCGCGCAGTTTATTCATTGATTCCAAAATCTAAAGGATCTTTAACTTCCTCAGACTCTGCTACAGTTTCATCCTCAAATCTGCTGGGGGTTCCATGTTCAAAGTTCTCCTCCGTGGATGAGCGAGCTTTTACTGTACTGGGTCCACAGTGATGGAACCAGCTTCCTAAGTCTCTAAGAAATTCTGGATCTTTATCTCTTCTTAAAAATAATCTAAAGACTTCTCTTTTTAGACGGGGTTTAAATAAATTAATTTTGGGAACACTTTATTTGGATCGCCCACTTTAGATGCTTTGTAGATACTTAATTAACTCTCAAGTTACACTGAACTGTCTACTAAATCAACCGTAATTTTCTTTAAACCTGCTCTAACACTAACCCTAACCTTAACCTCAAGCCAAAACCTAAACCCAACCCTCACCCTGCTCCAAATCCTAACCCTAACCCCGCCACTGTTTACAATCAACTGAGTTTCAACCATCTACATCTGTAGATGATCTACAGGGGACTGTAGTGGACGATCTAAACAAAGTGAGACCCTGATATTTGTTTTAAGTAATTCTGGATCTCTTTTAAGAAGAATCTTACGACTTTTCTTTTTAGACGTCTTTTATAAAATCATTTTGCTTTGTTTTAGAGACTCTGGATCTTTTAAGAATTAAGGTTTTTCCTTTTAGATGTGTTTTTATGAAGTTTATTTTTCTGTCAAGCATCTTAAATTAACGTCATGAAAAGCGTGCTATATAAATAAAACGTATTATGATTATTATTATTGTTACGCGTGCATGGATAAATGCAAAATGCTCTTACATTTTTATCTGAAAATGTGAGAGAACTGCACAGAAAGTGGATATAACTGTAAGCATGGCTGATCACACGTTCCACTTCCCTGAATACAGTTTAAGTATGAAGTGATGGATGCAATTTTCTTGCTCAAATACTTTTAAAATTATTATTATTTATTTTTTTTATGATTAACATTTTTTATTGATTTTTTTTATTTTTGCCACACATATTTGTATTTTGTAACAACATGACCCCCTTTACCCTCCCCCTGCCCACCCCAGCTGTGTCGGTGCTACATTCATGACCTGATTTAATCCAGTGCAGTACAAGGCTCTGTATCATTAAATAAATAAATAAATAAAATAAATAAATAAATAATAATACTAAGAATACAAATAAAATAAATAAATGTACAAATAAATCAGCAAGCAAACAAACACACAAGCCATAGAAATAAATCAATCAATCAATAAATAAACAGAACTACAAAATAAATAAATAAAAACGGCAATAACAACAAAGCGGATCGCAGCACGATACTCCTCTTTAAGAGCTCTCTATAAATCTTAAATGTTCTAAACGCCGAACAATTTAAATGATAGTTTTTCATAGGCAGCTACTTTGCCAATCTCAGCAACCCATTCTTGAAATGATGGCGGGCCCGCTTCCCTCCACCTCCTAAGGATAACCTGCCTACCAATCATTAAACTGGTTTGAATCCGTGCCTTTAAATGCTTGTCCGTGGTTTCGAGCCCCGAGGGATCTCCTAAGACAAACAGTCTGGGGCAGAAGGGGAATCCTTTAAAATCATTAAGCAAAAACCAGAATGTGTTGTCCTGCTCTCCCTGCATCTGGTCCTCGGTTTGCACCCAGCCTATTAAGTCTAAGCCCCACCAACTTCAGCCAGATTGCCTTCTGGTCATCACCAGGTGTGCATTCTCATTATGAGATCACAGCTGGTCCCACAAGATGACCACCTGGGCTACTGAACACCCTGCTGTGTGTGTGGATGTGGTTTTACCAGGCCTGTCGTTCTCAGATCCCTTCTCTTGGTCAAATTTGTCCCAGGCTTTGAGTAGAGCGCTGGGATAGCACCCCCGCACACAGTGAAGACTGAAACGACAGCATCATCATCATCATCATCATCATCAGCATCATCATCATCACTGCACACAATCAGTAATATAAAACACATTTCTTGACTGATTTAAGCTCATTTGATGGAGAGAAAAGGTTAAGATCTTACTTGTTGAGTCCAATGAAGCCACTCGTTCTGTTGTTCTCTTTCGAGTCCAGGCTGCTCAGCTCTCTGTGGGAAATTTAATACATATGCACATACAGTCTGACAGTAAGTGTGTTTTAGCTTGTAAAATCATCATTTATTTTTAGAAAATGTGCAAATGAACCTAAATAAGTAGTTCATATCTTTTGAAATAGAACAAAGTTTGGTGCCAGGTTTCTCCTGGACGCTTCCAGCATCGCATAGGTTTATTAAAATCCATCACCAGCACCTGATTTAACTTAATGAAGCACTGATTAACCAACCAGGTACTGGATGATGGCTACAAATAATACTGGGTTTCCCTCAGAGGAGAAGTTTGGAAATGCTTAAATAAACAGACTGTCACACTGAAAATCACTACTTACTGAATTGTATGTTATTTCAATCTATTATTATATTAGTGTTTTTCTGGGAAAAAAATAAATGCTTACAGTCTAATTAAATAGCTTTTAATATCAATGTCGGCAGCATAAGAGACTTTGGCACAGTTGTGGGTATACACAAAAAAAATTAATAATAAAAAAAAACAAAAACAGTTAAAAGTTAGAAGTTAAATCACAAAAGTCTTATTTCACCTTATTTCAAATTCTTGTTCTGAATGAAATTGTTAAAGCTTTCACATATATTTTAACCCCTGCTGTACAAACTAAGGTAAAAAAACAGTTTGGGTCGATAAAGAAAATGATGAAAGTGAAAATCATACTTTGAAATGATGATTTCATGAAGAATTTCACCAAAGGTTTTTTGCGGTTCACCGTTGACTTTCTGAGAGCCTTCTACTGGAATGATCTGAAACAGTAAAGACAATAAACATTACTTACAGTGCTAAAGCAGAATCAGACAACTTAGCTAGAACAAAATGTTAGTCTAATACAGCAACGGTGCTGCACAGGGTGGTGTTAACACAATCCGCCTCAGACGAAATGCAATCTTGAAATCATTCGCGGAAAATCAACAACCCATGAAAGCATGAGCTGAAGGAAAATCAATAATAATGATAATCATATATCTCTGCCCACTACCTATGGGGTTTGTAATGTTATGTTACTGCTGAACTAGTGGCGATGTACATTTACATTTCCACACTGAGTTCAATGTTACTAATTCTGCTAAAATGTATTTTATCCTTATCAACCCTGGAACAGCCAGATAAAACATTTCCTTTTCCTTCATTTTTCACAGTAAAATTCACTACAGTACAAAGTACAGCAATCACTGCCTCAGTCTTTTTTTATCTAGAGCACTCATCACCACCCCTCCTCCTGCAGAGTTTATTTCCAGCTTGCATCTAACATGATACGTGCTAAATAAGACTCATGGTGCTAATTTGGTGACCAAAAAGTACTTAGAATGTGAAAGTTTAAGCATTAAACAGTGCTGTTATCATACGTTCATTATTATATGACAAAAAGTCAAAAGTTCATGAAATGACCACAATATACAGCGATGGGTGACCGAATGTTCTCCTCATTCAGCGATCCATGGTTGCTTGGCAACAATACCATACACTAAAGGAACTACATTTCTTGGAGGAATACTTGTTTATGTCGATTATTATTAATAATAACTAATTATTTTCAGATAAAATGTGCATTTTATCATATTTTATGTTGGCCGCCGTTTAATAAAAGCATTAAGCTGTTTGTGGCTTCTCGTCGTGCCTAAGAACACCCTTCCCCGTGAAAAAGTCGCAGTAACGCGCGGCCTCAAGTGGCTTATTGCTTTATTATTTTCTTTCTATGAGAAATCAATGACATCCTCAATAAGCACTAAAATCCCTAAAGAAGCAGTGAACGATGTGCTAGCGTACTTTAAGAGCCACAGTCTGACTGGAGTCGTTGACTGTGGAGAACACCTCTCCAAACGTGCCCTCTCCGATCTTGGAGCAGCGCTTCATTTGCTCTGGAGGAATGCAGTCATCAAACGGGAGGGGGCCATCCTGCTGGCACTCATGATACACCTTCTCAGCATCACTGATATCTTCATCATCAGGAGCCTGTCATCGATACAGAGAGAGCGAGGATTAGCGATGAGCGCTAACGTTAATGTTTACAAAAATATATATTCAACAGATACACCAACATACGTATCACAGAAATTACAGAACAGAATGTGCTGACATTAAGTAAAAAAGTCCAGTGAGGGGAAACAAGTTACCAGACCCAGTAAATCACCCCATTCAGGCTTCCTTCAATGACCTGAACAGCTCCAGTATCATTGGCAAAGAAGCAGCTGCATATGATGATACTACCACCTTCACGCTTCACTGCAAGTTCAAAATTCCTGGAAGTTTTTGTTTTTTTTCTATTTTTGTTTCATCTGATCAGAGAATGTCACTCCAAATGAGGTGGGCAACATATTTATCACAATACTCCAAGACGTTTTGACAACCACAATATTTAGTTTTTCTGAAGTTTAATAAGTACGAACAGACAAAACAGAACCTGTGCTATAAATAAAAACAAAAACTACACTGATTTTCTATCAATGTTTAACCAACTGCCCTGCAATCCAGTTAAACAGGCCTAATTATGCTCACTCTGTAGTGAAACATGCAGTCAGTGTTCTTTAAGCACTGACGAGCCCCACGATGCTCTAATAATGCTAAAATATCACCATGTTGTCGACCCCTGAAGAGGTCTGATTTGTTTAAACGCTTGTGTGCCAATTTTAGACGCATCTCTGTGCTTCTTTTTTAGTGTTGAGGGGTGTCGATACGTAGATGATTGTGATGTAGTTCACTGCGGTTCTATTGTTCTCCGTGTAACTCTTGCTCTGCAGCTCTTTCTGAGTTTCTGGCTTCTTTCTGACCATCCTAATCATTATTGTGTAGTCAAGTTCAAAGTCAAAAGTCGTTATGTGTGTGTTTAAAGTGGACATGCGCGCTGGACACATGTTAAACAGCAAAAACAGAAGCATCTAAATCTGAACACTTGTTTCCCCTCGCTGTAGAGGAACAGGGTGAACTGTGAAGCTTTGCTCTGACCACAGAGGCGTCCGTCATGGTGGAGCGGAGCAGGCGAGAGGGAGTGAGTCTGGACGTTGGGGTGTACCCGTCCAGTGGGCTTCCAAACAAGCTTAGACTGGCGTCCATCCCACCCGGAGTCCTCAGATTGGACAGAGCCAGCCGCCGCGGGGTTGGGAACGCTGTAACAAACACACCCAGACAGACGCACAACATCAGATCAGCTTCACACTGTTTGGCTTTACAGCAGCTCCAGGAGGAATCTAGTGTGTTTCTCACCTGTCTTCTTTTTGTGTACGGACAGCGCAGCTTTGAGTCGTCCCCAGTTGTGAGTTGTGAGCATGTCTGGAGAGAAGTTGGCCAGAATGGAGGAGAGGTTCAGCTGTTCCACTCTGATGGGGGTCACAGGCAGACCGACACCACCGTTTAACCAGCTGCACACAGAGTCCTGGGTTGAAAGACACAAATAAGAGTAGGACATATAAACAAGATGAACAAGATAAAGAACGTAAGTGGTCAATATTAGTGGTGTAACGGTTCTGAACTGATTCCACGGCTTACAGTTTGGCTCACAGTCCTCGTGATGAACTGCGATTGTTATTCATTTATTTAGTTCGGTGCCAAACTCTCCTCTGACTCTGAGTAATAACAGGTAACAAGCAGATCCACTGTGTTAAATCACAGCAACTAAAAAGTTTATTAGCTAACATCCAGAGTTTTCCTCCCAGATCTCCTCAGATCACACGACACAAACAGAGCTGAACTTACTGGACCTGTTTGGGCTTTTATGCGCAGCGACAGCTCAAACGGGGGATGAATATGTGGTAAGAAGCGCTGATACAGTGAGAGCCGGAGAAATATTTCACTACAAACTGGCAGCTGAGAGTGATTTGACGACTGGATCAACATTATAAAGGCTCCTATTTGCCCCTCTGTCTCCGCTCTGCTGTTCATGCATGTCTTTTCACCTGTCTCTCCGCTCTTCCAGCTCTCTGATTGGCTGTTTGAATCGCTCACCTAGAGTTCATCTCTGACCGTCTCTCACTGCAGGACTTGTGAACGTTTCGAGTCGTAAATATCACGTTTGATAATATCGGAGGGTCTCTGATCACTGCAGAGTTCGATCTGATCGGGGGGCTAAAGATTCACTCGTTTCTCCTCTCACACTACAGATCATCCGCACCGTCAGTCACTACCGATCGAGCTCCCGACCTAAAGAATCACTTCAGACTGTGAAAATTTGTCGCAAGGGGTTAAATCGGGGTTAAAATCGTCCACCAGCTACGCTCTTGATAAAAGGAAAACGTAAAAACTGAGTGGTGGTCAGATTTCATTCATTTGCTGCTTACATTTCACATTTTTGTCCTCCCTGGTCGGTACAGCTGCCCTGCCTCTTAGTATTTGCGTGTTTTATTGTAGTTACAATTTGCTGTCACTCCCATTTATGTTACTTTTTCTTTAATTTGATAAAAGATTAATTTTTGGAAACTATTTAATTCATTGTCTTATTGAAAAGACTTCTGGGGCCGTATTACAGAAACATCCTCTCTTTTTGTGTTCAGATCTGACAGGTCAAGATTTCTCACAAATTTGTATTACAGAAGCAAATGTGAGAATCTTTCAGCCTCTTATCTCCAGTCGGGAAATCTTAACCTACTCAAAGTCGACAGCTGTCATGTCTGTTACCTAGCAACCGACCATAAACACAGCTGAAACGTGAAAAATTTGAGTTAAGCTGCTGTTACTGATGTGAAAAAAGGTCAAACAGAACTAAAGTGCGATAAACTGTAAGTAGTGAATACAGTGAGAGCGCCCCCTGCTGTTTATCAGAGCGTCGCCGCTCCCCAGTTTCAGTCTCCGTTTCCCAAACGCTTTAGCCGAGCGCGCTAACGTTACTCCTCCTAATAAACAGACACACGTTCAGCTCCGTCTCCTCATTATTCACCACCATCACTGTAATATTTCCTCATCAACATTAACACACGAAGGTGATCAGAGGGGCGGTGGAGATCGAGTCTGCAGCGTCTGAGATCTTTAAAACGCAGAGTTAGAAAAGAAAATCATCTCACAGTGAAAGCAGCGTTTTACAGTAGAGATAAATGGAGCTCATTATGCTGGTAGTGAACTATGCTGCTGACACAGCTGCCTAAAAACCATAGAAACGGACCTTAAACAGAAGTGAGGACCCTGTTGGGGTTCATCCTAAAGTTAGGACAGGATTTAGGAGGTTCAGTCTAGTTAGGATGTTTGTGTGATGCTGTTTTCTTATCTGGAGTTCATGACAGCTCAGATTTGAGAGTTAAGGTGTTTCTGTAACACAGCCCCAGGTTTGTATTTGTGCATCTTGCATTAAACTGCACTAAACATGCTGCACTGCGGTTCAAACCCACCTGTGGATCAGAAACCAAGGACTGAAACGGGAGAGCCGTTACACCTCTATTACCCCTAAAAGTGCATTCACGGTAAAACTATGTTACCCCATTCGTCCCTGCAGGTTGCAGGTAGTTCAGAGAGCAGTCTCCAGGTTTGGTTCTTGTCCTGGTCTCATTCCTCCTTTGCCTTTTATTCCTCTCACCCATATCTCTCTTTGACCAGCGGCTGACGCTCAGGCCACTCACGCATGCTTTCCGGCCCGTCCCAGCACCGTTGCGCTCTTTCGGCACCACCTGCGTGCATGCTTTACTAGGAGCCACGACATCGGCAGGGGAAACAGGAGGTCCGAACAAGTTGGACAGACGTCTAACCACCCCTGCCTTCTGCCCCTCGCTCCCAGACGACCGCTCTCCTTCAGAGTTCACCCTCTCAGTGTTCTCCAACTGAAGCGCACTCTTCATGACCTGGTCATCACTTCTGGTCTCTTGAGGAGGAGGAGAGGCTGTCCGAGTCTGCGAAGGTGCTTGCTGGAACCTGTGGAGGAGGCTGTGGTCCAGAGGCTGGAGGAAGACGGTGAGGCAAGAAGACAAGCACTCCACCGTAAGACGATCAATCAGCGCCTGAGCTGAACCACTGGACCCGTGAGCAGGAGGAGAGGAAAGAGGAGGAACAGACAGAGAGGAGGAAGATGAAGGGGACGTGGAGACGCGGAGGGGTCTGAGGCAGACATCGGACAGGGCGCGATCCGAGACGTCATAGGTTTGGTTGCCGTTGCCTATTTCCGCTATGCTGGCTGATGTCGAGAGCTCCGTCTCCAAACTGGGTGGGTACGTCTCCTGGTCTTCTGTGTTCCTGCTAAGGCTTTGTCTGGATAAGATGTCCGTGACGTCCACCTCCTCCAGCAAGACGACCGCACTAACCGAGCGACACCTGCATGGCAACAAAGAGAAATACGATACAAAAACAGGCACTCGTTTTGACTTCTGTCCCTGTAGATCATCATGTTTAAGTCGCCTCTCAATAATAATGAGGGTAATTTTCAAAAATTTCTGTATGTATTTAGTGGTTGAGTAAACAACGTCATTCAGAGTGGTTTAATGGAAAATAATCTACTATAGAGAAGCTTGCAAACTTTAATCTCTTTACAGTGGCAGTGATGAGAACCAGGAGTCATGATGACTTCAACACAAATTTTATTTACCATCCAGAACCACCAGTGAACCTACACGAGTCTTCTGAGTTTATATGAATGTTGATGATGAAAATAGTGGAAAATCTGAAATAATAAGTTTTCTTTGGGGACTATTTTGCCTCACAGCGCCCTGCATGTATCCCTCCACCATGAATGGAGTTTAAGTTCTCTAAACTATCATAAAACAGTGTCTCAGTCATCAGGCAGTGAATTCATAACCATTTCATGTAGGAACTTTCTGTGAGGGAGCTTTTAGAGGTGGACGTCTGGTTCCTATCACCACCACTGTGAACGGCTCTGACTCGGTAAGATTATCTAGAACGGAGAACCACTCTGTTTACATCTTAACCCCATAATTATACAGAAATTTTCAAAAAGATGTAAACAGAGTGGTTCGCTGTTCTAAAGAAACTATACAGTATATAACAAGTATATAACAAACACCGGCCACACCGCACGTAATATTCATATCATCCTGAAAATCCTTACGCCTGTCTGTCTCTTACAGAACCTCTGATTAGGCCCATCATGCGCAACATATCATCGTCCAATCACACCCCACCTTAGCCATCGCAGACTGATGATGCTGTTGTGGGGTTTGGGGGGGGGGTGGTACATAGAGGGATAGTCCAGTCACTTTCAAGAGAAAAACAATAAAAATAATAAAAAAGGCAGCTGCTATTCGCGGCACTAGCATCCATCTGTGTTCCCAAAAGAAGCTGTAAATACGGACTGTGAGCTGCTCCGTACCCTGACAGACTCTCTAATATTAGAAAGCTTTAAAGATCTTTTTTTAAGCTTCTTAGTGTTCCTCTGACTGAAGCTGAACAGGACGAGCATATTAGACCAAACTGGGTTCATAATGATGTTCATATTGTTGAAAACACTAATCCAAACCTTTAAACTGCAATTCTAAGATTGTGAACAACAGTGTGTATCTAAAAATCAGACCATCTATAAATATGAACCGTCAGCACTTCCTGTTAAAGCAGCTCACCTCTCCTTCAGCTGCTCCACTTCAGAGTCCAGGTGAGTCTGAGCAGAAACAAATATGACACTTGCACTCATCTGATCGTCCTCACAGGCCATGTTTTCCTGCTCGGACTCTCCGTTCTTCTGTCCCACCCCGTCCTCTGTCCTTTCTCCACGCCGGTTTAGAGTCTCCGCTGTCTGCAGGTGAGGACCTTCTGCACGCTCCTCCGTCTTCATCTCCTGAGTGCAGCTTGAGCGCTGCTGGCTGTTCCGCAGTGAGGTGAACTGTCGTGGTTTGATCATCAGCTTGCTGGTGCTGGGATTTCCTGCAGGGGGTTTGTCCAGCTCGTCGCAGCTGAAGGAGGAGATCTCGCTGACCGAGGGCTCCAGGTAGCGCAGGTTTCGTCTGGAGACCAGGGACGGGGTGCTACTCAGCAGAGGAAGCTTACAGGACACCCGCTGCCCCTCACTGTCGTTCAACGAGACTTCGCGTAAAACCGACTGGGTGTGACCGCTGCTGAGGGCGGAGGCCGAACGCTTAGGACCAGAGTTCTCTGGACAAAACTCCTCCGGGACGGCGGGCCGCTTCCGCCGGGCGACACACCGGGGAAACGAAGGGACGAGAGAAACGAAGTCCTCCAGTGAACTTAGAGAGCCGTCAGGAACCGCCCACTGAGAGAGAAACAGAAAATAAAGTAGAACACACATCCAACCCTGAGACAGCACTGACCGCAACAGTTAGAGGCCAATTTTTGTCGATTGTTTTGTTGACATATAAATAAGTGATTACATTCTCTACAGCAGGGCTGCCCAGAACGTCGATCCTGCACCAACGTGCACTGTGTCGATCGCGCCTCATTCCAACAGGCTATCAAATTATAATACCTTATTCTGGCAGGTCCACGTGACTGACTGTCGTGAAATGTGGTCACTGTCTCTTTCATTTACTGCTTGTTACCGTAGTAAAGCCCTGCTGTGACTTTGCCTCTCTAGTGATCTAGAAAGTTTATATTTATCGGTTGCCAGCGCCGTTTTTGCGTTTTTCTTTTGTTACCCTGTGGTAGAGTGGACTCGAAGTGGCCTGGAGGTTACCGTTTTGGCATGTTTAGAAGAGGTTTGAGCAGAAGGCTGGTTAAATCATTTTCTTTCCTCGTTTCTTTATTGCACGTTATCGAAAATCCCAACGATCCTTCACCGAGGCACTCGCACACAACTATTTACACAAAAACATTAGCCTCAAATGCATGACAGGCACTTTGTTACTGTTCCTTGTCTTTTCTCACTTAATCCCCCTTTCTACCTCAGAGTCCAGCAGTTAGACCTCTCTACCTAGACTGGGCTACTCCTTAAACACCTATAGCCCCTCCCAGTGGACAAAACCAAAATTAAGTTCAGGTATTCATAAGGCAAAATAGTCACATTCCCATTCGCAGTACACACATTTATATATATACTTGAGGCAAATGTTGAATATCTACAAATATTCATCGCCAGAGTTCAACATTAGCAATTAGTTCATTAACAGTTTTTCTGTTTCCCAGGTCGACCTGTGCACCCCCTGTCCCTGTGTCCCTCCCAGGCCAGCAGACCGACAAGAGGACTTCTCTTCAAGAGGAATTCTCTTTCCAGGAAACAGGTAACTGTCTCTATACATTAATTAAAACAAAAGGCTCAGTCACACCTTTGTCTCCTATAGTCTCTGTTCATGGCTGTTGGTGATGTGCTAGACCAGCTCAATCATCACAAACCCACACTGACTCTGTCAGAAGATGAGCGCGAGACCTAGAACCAAGAAACCGAACACGTACCTCTTCCATGCAGAGCGGGAGGAGGACAAGTAGCCAACTTCCGAAGAAGGGGAACGTCTAGGGACATTTACGAACCATACACAGAAACTACGACGACAAACTCCCAGATAAAAGTGAATCAGGAAGAAGAAAGTGGTCCAGACTACACAAACCGGCCGGCAGCCTTCAGAGCGAATGATCAGAATAAGGTCAGTGTGATTCTCCAGCCATTTGCCTTGTACTGCTGAATACCAACACAGGCCACTGAGGCGCATTAACAGAGTTTCAAAGCTTTTAAAAAGGATGAGGTCAGCCTTTTCTTTTCTTTTTTTAAAGGTAGATCACGATGACCTGTCCACTGGAAAAAGTAGATCTCAAGCCACAAAAGTATGGTTCTTGTCCTGGTCTCTCTACAGTCCTGTGTTTCTCCACAGAGAACACACTCCTGCACAAAATATCATAACAAAATATCATATTATTATTATGTTTTGTTTTGCTCCCAATGTGTTAAACTCAACAACTGAACAGTAACTGAAGTGTGCAGGAGTGTGTTCCCTGTAGAGGATGTGTTAACTTATTCACACGTCCACTTAAAAAAAAAAAAACACAACACAAAACATCAAACCGTGCCACTTAACTGGGGGTGTTCAAACCTCTGTATACGACTATAAGCAGTATTTCTATGTAGGTTTTTGATCACAGATTACAATGTTTTGTCTTTATTATAGCTGATGTTTATTATATCAATTAGAGCAAAAACAATATTTAAAAACATTTAAGTTAAATATCACAATGATTGGGCACAAAGCTCTAGCACGGCAACATTTAAACAAGCCTCACAAGCAAAATCTCACAGGGTGGGGTTAGGGCCGCGAGAGAGAGAGAGAGAGAGAGAGAGAGAGAGAGAGAGAGAGAGAGAGAGAGACAGACAGACAGACAGAGTCAGTATAAGCATTTCTCTTACACTCTGTTTAGCGGTGGGCTTTTCGGGTTGGATGGGCGGCGCTCTCCTGCGGCGAGTGACGAATCTGCCCAGAGGAAGTGGAGCAGCTGATTCTCTCTTCCTACTGAAAACAAAACACAGATATCAGGGAGGTCGGTACGTAGATAGACAGATAGACAGATGGATAAATACACAGATAAATACATATATAAATATGTGAAAGACAGATAGATAGATAGATAGACAGACAGACAAATAGATAAGTAGATACATAGATAGATAGGCAAGTAGATAAGTAGATAGACAGATAGATACATAGATAAATAGACAGATAGACAGACAGACAGACAGACAGACAGGCAGATAGATAGACAGATAGATCTTTATTGATCCTGAAGAGAAACTGCACTGTTACAGTATCAACACGTATAATTGCTCATAAACGTACACAGATGAGAAACAAACAGACATAAATCAGAAATAGAAGCAGAAATAAGAAAGCAGACACAGGTTGGGGTAAACTGACAGTAGAAATAGAAGTATATCTAATACTTATTTACACAGCAAATAAATCAGTAAATGGACACTTCATCTCTATCAAACAACTGGTAAGTGCTAAACAGTGCTGCTAACCAGGAGGGAGGAACTACAAAGCACAGCGGCCCACAGGAAAACTAAAACCAACTTAAATACAGCTTTATTCTTCTTTTCTTAAACGCTGACACTGAAAACCTGAGAATCAGGTGCTGAAAAAGATCAGGTCGGTCATTCTGGTTGTCAGTAGGTTTGCAAATTTGCAGGTATGTAAAAAAGCGTGTTTAAAAAAAAAGCACTCATGGTTGTAGTGATGTTTTGTTTAAGCACTCATGTCGCTGATGCTCGACCAAACACGCTCCGCGATCTGTGAGCTGAAATCTTCTCCATTAGTAAATCCAACACTATAGTGAGATCTGCCCGTCAGCGTCTCTTCTACCTGCACAGGCTCAGGAAAAGTCTGGTCTGCCTCCTCAGATCCTCACCAACTTCTACAGATGCACCATAGAGAGCTTCCTCACAGGCTGCATCACTGTCTGGTACAGCAGCTGCACCGCCTGTGACTGCAAAGCCCTTAAAGGAGTGGTGAGGACGGCAGAAGCCATCACAGGCAACAAACTACCAGCCTTACAGGACATCTCAGTCCCGCTGCCTCAGGAAGATCAAACAGATCCGGTCAGACAGGGTCACCCAGCACACGGCCTGTTCACCATCCTGCCATCAGGCTGGAGATTCCGCAGCATCCAGGCTGGAACAACCCGGCTAATGAACAGCTTCACCCACAGGCTGTCAGACTTCTGAACAAGCTGTGAAGCTGTGGGTCCTTCAGCAACTACCATCTCACTCAGTCACTCTGTCAGCATTATTATTATATCATATCTCTGATACGAACAATAACACTAACACTGTCACTTCTACCTGTGAGCTCCCACAGCACCAGTGAGCCTCTAAAACAGAAACGGGTGGACGGTGTTTATTTGGCCGTTCAGACGAGGAACAGAGAGAGATTTTTAAATACTGTCATCACTTTTAAATACAGTGATGTTATTCATTACTATTACATCACCCAACCTCACCCTGATCCCAATAACATACGATACGTACTCGTTTAAATATTCTGTCAAAGCGTTCGCTTTCTCTCTACGGTCCGCCTCTTCAGGGACGCCTGGTCTAAAGGCCTCCGAGCGCTTCTTCTCCATCATAAAAGACTCGTCCTCGTTCTCGCTGCTGCTGAGGACCTGCTGCTTCTTCTTCTTCCTCCTCTTCTTCACTCTCGCTGTGTGCTGAGGGGCCTGTTCCGTCCTGGCTCGGGCTCCGTGTGCGCCTGGTGGCTTTTTAGGGACTGTAGCCTTCACGTGTGTGGAGCTCACTTTATTCCTGCAGAACAAAGAAGATACAGGAAGGTACAGAATGAAGAACCTGGAGCAAAGTGAAGTATCTACAGCGTCTCAAACAGCCCCTGACCCACTGCACCTAACCGAGGTCATGATGGACTCGAGCTTTACCTGGTTAAGTGGTGCTGGGGCAGGTAGTGCTTCAGACTTCACCCCTACTAGCCCGGTAAATTTTACAGCAGTGCTTAGTGCTTAATGCGAGAACATCTCACGAAACAGACAAACATGTCAGTGATTTTAAGGAGCTACAGTGGGCAAAAAAATGGTAAGTCTCCAAAATAACAGCGTTTTGGGTCCAGCAGTGTCAAAAATAGGTAGATAGATAAAGACAGGTTCAACAAAGTCAAGTGGGAATTAGCATTTTCTGTAGTTACACTGAAATAAACCACCAATAAAATCAATTATTTTACTCACTGCCTGTGTTAGAAACAAAAACACTGCAATAGTATATATTTAACAGTCTGAAGAAGATTTAGATCAGTACGGCTTTGGATTCCCTTTAAATCCACTGTGTAAATAACTACCAATAGAATAAAGACTCTATGCCGTTATTTAATACACACAGAACACAATAATCCTGTGACTACTGACTCATTATTCCAAATGAAAATAATTACTCAGGTATTTTTTTTAAATATTTCATATCTTTATGTGTAGTAAGCTCTTTTAAATCTACATCATTCTCCTTCATTTTTTTCCTCATCCCTATTCGGAGTCTTTCTGTGTAATGTTCAGCAGATTACATGGTTTCTCCATATATTCAAAATAACAAAAACAACAACTAAACAACAATAACACTGTCGTCACACATTAACTACCTTCATTACTTTGGTTTTCTGTATTGTTTTTATTCGGTGCTGTTTTCTTCGTTTGCTTTGTAAAAATGGAAACAGGTTCTGCTTTTTTATAATATAAGTGGCCCTTATTAGTTCCACAACGGGGAAATTTATCGTGCTATTTCTATGCTTTGCCTAAAATGCTGAAGACGTTTGTGATTAAATATCTAAAATTCCTGCTAAATGAAACCGACTTGAACCTTCTGTTCTATTTTTGGAGCAAAAATGATTTAAAATGCAGCTACACTGCAGACAAACAGTGGAACGGTGATGCACTTCCACACAGAGCTCCTGCTTTTGGGAATTCTCAGTGTTTATACTGTTTAAGAGGCTGACCTGGACGCGCTGTCAGGAATGAAGTTTTCCTCATCGCTCTCCAGCTTCTTCAAGGCCGTCATGGCCCTGCGCGCCGTCCTGGATCCAGCCGAGGCTGCGCTTTTCTTCTTCCTTCAGACAGAGAAAAGGTGAAGACTGTTTTGATGATAATAATAATTATTATTATTATTAATATGGCACCTTTCACGCACTTCATACATTAAAAATACAGCTCAAAGTGCTTGACGATACAAAGTAAATACAACAGAGGATGAAGAGAAAAAAGATCATCAAAGATAAAACAAATAATAAACAGCAGCATATAAAGCAAAAAAGGGAATATATTAATAATAATCACCTTTAAAAAGCATAAAAATACTAAAAGTAATAAAATACCTAGTTAAACGCTCAAGAAAAGAAACACGTTTTTAATGTTTTTTAAAAGCGCTGACAGAAGGAGTCGGACGGATGTTTATCGGTAACGTGTTCCAGATCTTTGGGGCATAAAAACAAAACCTCTGCGCTCTTTTTGAGCTTCATATGCAGAATATTGAGAAGCAGCACTCGATGATCTCACAGCTGGATTTAGAACATCATCTATCAGCACTCAGAGACGTCTGAAGGGGTTAAAGAGATTTAGAAGCTGATCTAATACGATCCTGTTTACTAGCCCATGTTAATATTGTTGCTGCTGCATTTTGCATTAGCTGTAGTTTGTTTGTTGTTGTTCTATGAACAGAGCAAGACAGCAGAGGAGAAAACAAAAGCATAGATCAATTTCTTAACACCCTGCAGACCGAGATACCGGTGCTGTGTTCCTTAAGTGATGAAAAGCAGTGCTGGTAATGCTGTTAACATGTGGTTTAAACCGCAGTCTAAATCAGGGTCTGGAGGTATTAATCAAATAGGGTCATTTAGAACAGACTGCAGATGCAAACATCAGTTTAGAAGAGAAAGGCAGTGAGCGAAATACTCTACCGTGCTTTGGGATGCGAGGTCTCGGAGACGGACTGGTCAGACGAGGGCGTGCTGGAGAAAGAGAAGGCTTTCTTCCTCAGGTCAGGCGAGAACCACAGATCCACCTTGCGCTTTTGTCGGCCGTATGTTTTCAGGTACATGGGTCTATTACAACCAAACGTGCTCATCTTGGCTGCTCTTCTCTTCTTATGTCAGGATAATCTGAAACAGTGAGAAGTTCAACCACCATCTCCAACTTTTCACCTTGGCCAGCACAGCAGGTTACATTTTTAACTCATTTACTTATTTCCCAAAGATTTCTCAAAAAAATCGACTTAATTCGACTGACAAGATGTAAACAAAGAGTGGTTTGGTGTGAAACGCTCTGTTCTGAAATCAGAACTGTTCACAGTGGTGGTGATAGGAACCAGACGTCCACCTCTAAAAGCTCCCTCACAGAGTTACTACAGGAAATGGTCATGAATTCACTGCCTGATGACTGAGACACTGTTTTATGATAGTTTAGAGAACTTAAACTCCATTCATGGTGGAGGGATACATGCAGGGCGCTGTGAGGCAAAATAGTCCCCAAAGAAAACTTATTATTTCAGATTTTCCACTATTTTCATCATCAACATTCCATATGAACTCAGAAGACTCGTGTAGGTTCACTGGTGGTTCTGGATAGTAAATAAAATGTCTATATCTGTGTTGTAGTCATGGCGACCCCTGGTTCCTATCACCACCACTGTAAAGACATCTGAACCGTTTCACACCAAACCTCTCTGAATCTCTCTGTTTACAGCTCACACGCTGAATTATGGGTTGAATTTTAGGAAAAGCGGTGGAACTCCCCTTTGACAGCATTTGTCTGGAAGCTGATTCAGTGCAGCTACTGTCACTTAATTTACGTCCAAATAATATCGGCGAGATATTTAACAACAACAAACCTGACAAACCAGCGGCCTGTGCTAATGTGAGCTAACTAGCGTTAAGCTAGCGTCCCCACAGCGACCGCTACCGCTAACCAGCGACGCTTTTAGGACATCGGACTCGACCTTCACCCGAAAACGAGCACTTCTGTTTCAGGGAAACATCAGAATTTCGGAGACTAATTACAGCTAAAGCGCTCATTTACCTCATCCACCCGCTTGTTGTTCGAATTCCCCCGTTCCACCTTAAACGGTGCAGCTGTTACTGCGGCGAGCCTGAGCCGTCAGAATGTAACTGCTGCACCATTTAAGGTGGAACGGGGGAAATTCGAACAACTAGCCGGCTACGCAGCCAGCTAACGCAGGTTATTCAACTCATAAGGCAACAAACAGCACATTACCTCAAACGGCCTTCCTTCAGAGGCGCTTCGAGCCGTTAAATAAAGTACCGGTTCATCGCTTTTTCAACAAACTAAACAAAACCGAGCCGCTACGGAAACACCGCCCCGCTCCTCCGCCAGCCGCGCTCCGTTCAAACAGAAGGAGGCTTCTGATTGGCTGTAGACTCCGCTTTGGTCATAGCAGCGCGACAAGGGCTGAGCCTCAAACGGCGCCCTACTCCCTACATAGTGCACTACGAGGGAATAAAAACACGGAATCCTGCACATGAACAGCGCCAGAAATAGTCATTTGGGATTCCGGCATGTGTGGACAATTCCATACCGGGCAGTGTTTGGGTGCAGAAGACAAAATTTCATAGCTTACACCGCGCACTACTTAGGGAGTAGGGAGCGATTTGAGGTGCAGCCAAGGACAACGCAAAGCGGCACAAACGGTTTGTGCTAGGAGGCCAAAAGCACAGATATTCATACCTAGATGCGTCCATTCAGGCGCGTCAACGGCGCCGCCATTTTGGGGCGGTCAACATCGCTGCGGGACTGCATTCAGTACCATTGCAGAGCGACAGTTTAAGAAAGATACTGTCCAGAATTACACTATTTCAGGAATATCACACCCAGAAAGTGGGACAGGATTATATAACGGAGGGAACGCAGTGATCCACACTCATGTCTGTGGGGTGTTTATTGTTTATGTGATGTTTATGTGTAGATATGGCCGTGTGGTTGGTGAAGCACAGAGAACCTGTTGATGTGATTGTTTTTCCTCTGGTTTTATATTAAGCTCATTTCATTTAATGGTCCTTCCACTCCTTAATCCGTATAGATATTCATAATAGATTAGCACCTTATTATATGGATCTGAAGTTAGGTTCTTATTTGCCAGCTTCTTGTTCGAATTTTCCCGTTCCACCTTAAATGGTGCAGCTTCAGGCACCAGAAAGTGACTGCTGCACCATTTAAGGTGGAACAGGAAAACTCGAACAAGGCGAATAGGAAGCCATTCAGCTCCGTCCTTCTTGCTGTGTTTTGGGGGTTATTTTATTTTTATGTGTATTAAGATTAGAAGTGATTCACACATTGATGGATTTGCTGATGTGTCTGATTGTGTTTCTCGCGCTAAACTCGGTTTTTATCGTCAGGTGCAGACTGAATACTTTCCTGCTGGTCCGGACGGCTAATTATCACGATCAGTTATTACAGTAATAAAAGCTACTGAGAGCAGATCTGAGCAGCCCGGATTAATCTGTGTCTGAGGATTATAACTAAACAGATTTGGTGAAAATCGGTTGAGTAATAAGGAAGTTGTGGCTGATTTAATCCTGAGACTCTTCGTCTCTCAATACGAGTGAATTTGTTCACAAGCGGATCTTGACCTCTCCAACATGGCGGACGGGCAGACGTATCGCCTCAGATAGAGAACAACAGACAACGCGGCATCTAGGAATGTAGATCTGTGGCCGAAAGGACAAAGATAAGATACACAGATATATCAGCAGCGTTAAATGTTTCATGCTGTGTTCAGGAAACCTAAATAAACATATTTAAATCATTTACAAACTGAGATTTTGCACAAACACTCCGGACAGGCTCGGAGCGCCCTCTAGCGTCAGACCAACCCAAGTGGCCCCAATGATAGATGCTTAAACGAAGTGCTCGACAGAGAACAAAGGGCTGTTATTTGGACCTGCCGGCAGAGGGCGCAGTCGGTGTAAATGTTAATGTGAGCACACGGCTGCAGTCTGCGGGGCTGTTTAGGGCGGAAAAGTGAATGAAGCAGTCAGTGTAGGGGGGCAGAGGGGCTGCGGAATGTTCGGGAAAGAGGCGGTATCGTCCCTTTAAGGAAACAGTGAAGCCTCCGCACGTTCAGGGTGTGGCCTCTGATTCCTCCCACAGGGCTGCTCTCAGAGCACAGGGTCAGATCAGAGAGCCGGGCGGTCCGCATCGCAGCGGTTCTGGGATCTTTAAGGATTTTACAGCAGGAAGAACTGAACCTCCGTCCCTGACCACGCTGCCCTCAGAAACGAGCTCTGATCATGAAGTGATTCATCGGTTCTTCCTCCGGAACGCAGAGGGACAGAGGGACAGAGGGACAGAGGTAGGAGCACTTTAAACCCTAAAAACTCTCCGATTCTCAGCTCTGCAGTAAACAGGACGGTTACCGGAGGATTCTGTCCCGTTTCTGCTGGTTTGTCCTGTGGGCGTGTTCACAGAAAGCGAAAGCTGCACAATGCTTCTCTGTCTTCAAAGGGCAACACCGCCGAATTTTCAAAATCTCCTCAGTAATTCAGTGGCTAAGTTCTAAACAGAGTGGTTCTCTGTTCTAGATAAACTTACCGACTCAGAACTGTTCACAGTGGTGGTGATAGGAACCAGACGTCCACCTCTAAAAGCTCCCTCACAGAAAGTTCCTACATGAAATGGTTATGAATTCACTGCCTGATGACTGAGACACTGTTTTATGATAGTTTAGAGAACTTAAACTCCATTCATGGTGGAGGGATACATGCAGGGTGCTGTGAGGCAAAATAGTCCCCAAACAAAACTTATTATTTCAGATTTTCCACTATTTTCCATCATCAACATTCATATAAGCTCAGAAGACTCGTGTAGGTTCACTGGTGGTTCTGGACAGTAAATGTCTGTGTTTGTGCTGTAGTCCATTACGCTGTGATATCACCCCATTAAAAAGCCACAACGTAACAGAACCATCAGGAACCAACAGACACTTAATGGACTGGAGGAACAGATCAGTCGTTAATGAGATCTCTGTTTAGATAGGAAGTTCTCCACGTGGCCGTTTCCTGCCAGGCGACCTGAGACCAGTAGGACAGGTATGTGGCGATCCTGGGAGCGGCCCGTCCCTCAGCTCTGCGCTCGAGCAGGAAGTGCTTTAACAGTGTTCACATGTGAAAACAGGGTGGACGCATTTGGAGTGAGAGCCACCAGAATGTGCTGTGGGAGCCAAATAATCAAAAAATCCCCCATGATTCAGTAAACAGAGTCATTCGGGCTGGTTTGGTGTGAAATGGTTCATCGCAAGTGTTACATGCCCTTAATAATCCGATCATTATCTGATTATTAAGTGATCGTGTAAACACACACTGATTTCTTAGATCAGATTAAGGTCTAGAAATCTGATTAGTAAATCTGATAAAGAGGCTGGATTTGAGTCACTAATGGGGTTTTTCAGTCTGATCTCTTAGATCAGATTAAGGTATATAAATCTGATTAGTGAATCTGATAAAGAGGCTGATCTGAGTCAGTAATGGGGTTTTTCAGTGCTGTAAACTCTCAATCTGATTTCTTTCGTTTCTCTCAGTCTGAGCATGTGTGAAAACAGAGCGCCGTCCCAGAAACAGCGAGCAGCGTCTAACGCAGCACAGATTATCAGATTATCAAGCGTGAACACACTGAACCGGTTACTGATACAATCTGATTTTCTGCAGTGATCAGATTATCAAGCGTGAACACACTGAACCGGTTACTGACACAGTCCGATTTTCTGCCGTGATCGGATCATTAAAGGCCTGTAAACAGTCAGTGCAGGGTTCTGTGCGGTGGTGGTCTACTGAACCAGGGGTTGCCGTAACTTCAACACTATACAGATATTTTAATGCGCGTTTCACACCAAGCCCACTTTTACATCTTCACCACTTAGTTATGCTGAAACTGATGTCTATTAGATTGTTCATGAATAACATATCACAGGTCAGCAGGTTAATCAGGGAGCAGCAGACTGACCTTGTCTCCACCCTGTTAGTCACAGTCATGTGTGAGTGACCAGTGCTGGGTCCGTGGGTTGTGAAAAAGTAAGTGCGCCTGATTGAGCTATACTTTGTAACATAGTAAAAATGTAATATTGTGATACTTCAATAACTTTTCACGATGTGCCACAAAATTAAATACCTTTAAAAGAGTGAATTTAGTGATTTGTAGTCCACTGTAGTTCAGTCACTTTTCAACCGCTAATCTCGCTGCTGTCGTTCTCTGGAAGAGACTCACCTAATTTCTACACTCACTGTCCACTCTATCAGCTCCACTGAACACATAGTTTCACTCTGTAGTTCTACAGTTACAGACTGTAGTCCATCTGTTTCTCTGATACTTTGTCACTCTGTTCTAGGTACTATTTGGGTGGTGGGTCATTCTCAGCACTGCAGTAACACTGACGTGGTGGTGGTGTGTAAGTGTGTGTTGTGCTGGTGTGAGTGGATCAGACACAGCAGTGCTGCTGGAGTTTTTAAACAGTGTGTCCACTCTCTGTCCACTCTATTTGACACTCCTACCTTGTCAGTCCACCTTGTAGATGTAAAGTCACACAGTTTGTGTTGGTCATCCTCTAGTCCTTCATCAGTGGTCACAGGACGCTGCCCACAGGACGCTGCTGGCTGGATATTTTTGGTTGGTGGACTATTCTCAGTCCAGCAGCGACACTGAGGTGTTTAAAAACTCCAGCAGCACTGCTGTGTCTGATCCACTCAGACCAGCACAACACACACACTGAGAGCACAAATGTGTGCTTTTCTGCTGACAGTTTAACTGGAACGAGCTCTTTATCTACTCTGCAGGTAACAGAGGAGGAACCTGAGGCTGCACACCGGTAATTATGGGATTCTTCGGGCTGCTGAAGACTCAGTTCCTTTGTCACCTGGTCATCTGTTATGTGTTTCTGGTCAGCGGCCTCATAATCAACCTCCTGCAGCTCTGCACGCTGCCTCTGTGGTGGATTAACAAACAGCTGGCTCGCAGGGTCAACTGCAGACTGGCCTACTGCGTCTCCAGCCGTGAGTATCCACAGCCGACAGCTTCTCCAGATGCCTTTCGAAGGGGAATTCCACCAAAATTCCTGCATATTTAAATGGTTAAGATGTAAACAGAGTTGTTCAGATTGGTTCTCCATTCTAGAATCGAGAGAACTGTTCACAGTGGTGGTGATAGGAACCAGACGTCCACCTCTAAAAGCTCCCTCACAGAAAGTTCCTACATGAAATGGTTATGAATTCACTGCCTGATGACTGAGACACTGTTTTATGATAGTTTAGAGAACTTAAACTCCATTCATGGTGGAGGGATACATGCAGGGCGCTGTGAGGCAAAATAGTCCCCAAAGAAATTGTATTTCCCTTTGGCCTGATGAACCAGATGCTTGCGGAAGTAAAACGTGTGAGTTCTATTTACAACAGGGCAAAAAAGGGGGATGTCAGTGATCCAGGCCAGGTCAGAACAGAGAGAGCAACAAACAGGTACACAAACAAACCGAGATCAGAGTCCAGAACCAGGCGAGGGGAAAGCCAGAGGAGCAAACAGAACCGCCACAGTACAAAGGAAAAGTAACACAGTAAGAGCTGAGAGTGAGACTGATTAGAACTCAGGGGAGGAGGTAGATGATGGGCTTGTGACTGTGACGTCAGAACCAGATGCATCATGGGAGTTCACAGGTGTGTGGAAGAAGACACATGTAGGTTCACTGGTGGTTTTGGACAGTAAATAAAACCCACTTCCTGCTAGGTTGTTGCTAGGTGGTTACTCTGGTATCCCAGGCGGTTGCTAAGGTGTTGCTAGGCAGTTGCTAGGATATCCCATGTGGTTGCTAAGGTGTTGCTAGGCAGCTGCCATGGTGTACGGGGTATTTAGTTATTTGTGGGGAGTCGCCAAATGTTAGCTACCTGTTGTGGAAAATGAATGGGACTCTATGGGAGGAACGAGGGATGGAAAAGCGACACATAGAGGAGTGCAGGTCTGTACGGCTGGGGAGTAGAGCTCGAGGACCTGCCCTGAGTGAGGACCTGTGGTTTGGTGGCTGTCGGGCAACGAAGTAATAGAGTTTGAGTGGTGGCGAGAATGAATGGGAGTCTATGGGAGAAACGAGAGATGAGAGAAAAAAGGACAAACAGATGAGTGCGGGTCAGAACAACATTGAGTTCATGCTCGGGGGCCGGCCCTGAGATAGTGTATGTGAAACGGGGTCTTTCGGTCGAGCAGAAGTACCGTAGATGGTCAGTCAGTTTTTCACCCCATTCATTCCTATAGGAAAAAATTCAGAATTTATTGATGATTGTACGGAAACCGGCATCCGATCAAAAAGTTATATACAAGCCCGAATCACACAATCGAAAATCTCGAGCTAGTAGTGCTGATGTCTCGGTAGCTAAATTTCCCGTTCCACCTTAAACGGTGCAGCAGATACATTCTGGCATCAGAACTGCTGCACCATTTAAGGCGGACCGGGAAAATTCAAACAGGAATCTGGTGAATATCTGACTTCAGCTTCATATCACTGAAGAATTAGGGGTGGGTGATAATAAATAACTGCCCCCCTCTTTGAAGATCATATGATGCCCTAAATGTAACTAAAGCCCAGCAGTGAGGAGCTGAACTTTACCCTCCTCTGCTGTCACTGCAGACTGGCAGGGTCTCCTACAGAGCAGCGCTGGTAGCTGTTAATGAAGTGATGCTCTTTTTATCTGAGGGTCCCATTTCAGAGGGAAGAATCCAACCACTACCCCTTATAACTCCAAAGGGCAACACTCAAAAACGAGGGGTAGGGGTAAAAATGAGAAATGGGACAGGGCCGTAGTATCTTGTGCAGCTCCTTCACTGACAGTAGCCACACCCAGATGGTTTCTGTGGTTAACAGCTATTTTGACTCATTCCTCAGTACAGAGCTGCCACAGTATTATAGAGGGGCTGTGGTCTGAGCTGAGGTCAGTCTTGGGACTTGTGTTTGACACACGGGACTTAGGAGGAGCGAGTGGTTCTAAGTGGGCCAGTGACGACACTTTATCTCATAAAAATCAGTGAAAAACAAAGACTTCATAATAATTGTGTAACTATTTTTATATATATCTATATCTATCTATCTATTTATCTATATATATATACATATATATATATGACACATGCATTTGAACAGAAACCGCTTTACCCTCATTTCCTTCACCTCCAGACCTCAGAATCAAGAGCTGAGGTCAGTACTGTTCCTATCATTGATATAGATTTTTCAATGTGTGGTTATCATCATTTCCTGTGGGCCTCATGTGTTCTAGTGATAAACAGAGGGGCACAGAGGTGGAACAGGATGAGAACCCTGCATTAGAACACTGTTTCTCTGAAGGCAGGAGCCGGATGAGTTGAAGACCAACTGCGTTCCCTGAAATGTACCGTTCGCGGTTTCCCAACCTCTCTCTTACTTAATTTCCTGTTTGGATGGTTGCCAGACACTGGTGCCTCGCAACCACGGAGAACAACAAAGAAAGAGGAAGTGGGTTTATATCTAGAACGCTTCCTCTCGCCGATCCCTTCAGAATTTTTCATACAGATGATGTTCGACTTCACTCTGTATTCAGTCTAGTGAGCAGCTGTGCCTCCACATCGCGCCGCCGCTTCACCTGCTCTGCTATCAATGCAAATGCATGCTTAGTTTGTGGGCAGTTTATCGCAGCTCTCAGGACAGTGTAGACCTGGCAACCCATAACAGCTCATATCCCACGTTTTAGCTTTCGTTACCCTCTGAGCTCCACTTAGAACGTTTGAGAGATTTTATGTATGAAAAACAGCCATAATTTGTTATTATTAATGTGCCTTTAAGACCGATGTATGTAAATGAGCTCTGTTCTGATTGGCTGTGCCTCATTTAAAAAGCAGTCCAAGCTGCCCTGTGAGGAAGAAAATGGATCCAAACTCTTAATTTTATCCCATGTACATTTTTTCATGTGGTTCAGAGTGGTTTGGTGTGAAATGGTTCAGATGTCTTTACAGTGGTGGTGATAGGAACCAGGGGTCGCCATGACTACAACACAGATATAGACATTTTATTTACTATCCAGAACCACCAGTGAACCTACACGAGTCTTCTGAGTCTATATGGAATGCTGATGATGAAAAGCGGCCTCCTCTGAACAGGAGTGACTAAAATGTTAATCAGGTTTGATAACTGATTGGATTTGAAGAGAATCTATTCAGATTCCAGCTGCATTATTTAGTAATGCAGTTTATTAATTATTAATATACATTATTTAAACCCTTCAAAACAATGACACATTTTGTCCACCCACCAGAGTATCTCTTCCCCCGCCGAATCCAACCGAAATACCCAGCAAACAGGTGGGAAGTCGTCCAATCTGGCAACCCTGTTCATATTTTGACTTCATAATCAGCTCAAAATTCAGATCCAGAGACTCTCAGCAGAAAAATGTACGCAGGAAAAAACGTGCGGGGTTCGGGTCTTAGTTCAGTTTAACCATCTGAAAATAGATTAAAAAGGTACTTTTCTCCATAAACATCATCTTCAGCTCAACTGATATCAGTCCACTAAATATTTAGTGTAACCAGGTTTTCAGGGTTTACTGATAATAATTCACCCTTCATTAAGAAATGTAGTTGTGGTTTTGTCCACACGCTGTAAATGAGGCAGTCCAGCAGAAAAGTTCCAAAATGATTTAAACACTTCTTGTATTTTTAAACTCTGAAACAGGTCAATTTGACCCACAACATAGCAGGATGGTCAAATGTTGTGTTTGCTTATCTGTGATACCTCTGCTGACCCTTGCATGACCGTGACAGTCCACCTTGGTATTGAAACAGTGATCTAATTCTTCTGCTGTTCGTGCTCAGAGATGGTGGCGCTGCTGGAGTGGTGGTCTGGGACTGAGTGCACGCTGTACACGGATCCGGAGTCCTACCCCTTCTACGGCAAAGAGAACGCCATCGTCATCCTCAACCACAACTTCGAGATCGACTTCCTGTGCGGATGGACCTTCTGCGAAAGGTTCGGGGTTCTCGGGGTAAGAAGGATCCACAGGATCTTCTTAGTTATTCGTCTCTTTGACAGAGTTTTAAAACACAGTAGGACAGAAACAGGACAGGAGACACAGACACAGGCGGCTGTGTGTGGAACTGAAGGCAGCTCTCGATGTCCTGCTGTCTGTGTGATTAAAGTACCTGCAACGTATCAGAACAGAACCTCGTATGGTAACTTTACAGGAGAAGGGAAAAACATACCTCACTTTTAATGCGAGTCAGTGGAACCAGACGTCTTACCAAGTCATTTTGGGCCGTTTCTTTGGTGCATTCATCATGAAATTTACACACAATGTGAAGAACAACAGGCGTTTTCAGATATAACCAAAAACTGGAAAACAACACAAATGGAGATGTGAGGTTCTGTTCCGACAGCAGTGATATGCTGCATTCAGGTTAGAGCTGGGCGATATGGACCAAATGTGATATCAATGCTTTAACCAGTTTTCACAACTCACATATATTTTCTGACCCTTGGTAAATTGGAGCAGCTGGGGCTGAATGATTTGGAAAATATAATTAATTGGGATTTTTCTGATGGATATTGCGACCGTGATTTAAACTGCGATTATTTTCTGTAAAATGTTCAGGCCTGTCATTTTGGCCATCCACTTTTTTTAGGCTTGAGACTTGAGAACATGCCAGCCTGCTAGTTAGTCATGGTTGTGATGTCACAGCATGTAGTTGTTTGGTTGCTTCTGATTGGTCTAACTCATCCACAGGCAGTTTACAAGCTCTGATATCAGGTTAATGTTCCCCAATTAAGACAACATTGTTAATAAAAATGGCTATAATTGAAATTGCACAATTAATCTTTCAGCCCAGAGGAACAGCCCAAATAAGGCCACACCTAAAAAACACCATCAAAAACTATGAAAATCGGCTCATGATCTGTATTTTACCATTTCATATACTGCGCTGTGCTAAATCCAATTAAACAGGACTAATTATCCTCCCTTTATGATCAAACATGCAGTTGGGAAGTGTTTGTAAGTACTGACAAAATCCATGACACACTTAGAAAAGCATTCTGTGACAGAATTTATCAAGGTAGTGATAAATACTGTCATACTGGGAGTAATTATCATTTTTATTGGTGGGAAACTCGGATTTTTCGGAGCCCCGAGTTTCCGAGTTTAGGGCGTCAAAGCCCTGAAAGCCGCTGATAACCTGTTTACATTTCAGTCATTCAGCAGCCACACGAAACTCTGGTTCCACATAGCATCAAAAAGGGTTCTGCTACTGTTACAACATCAAGCATTTCCAAAAAGGTTCTATATAGATCCATAAACAGGTTCTCCATCAATCTCAAGAAGCACCATGCAAAGAAATATTTCAGCATGAAATGGTTCTGTACAGAACTTTAAAACAGAACCATTCCTTTTACTAAAGAACCCGTTAAGAACCATCTTGAAGAGTGTAGGTTATGTCGCCAGACTCTTTACAAAGTAAACATTGGAAAAATAGCCAACAGCGTTCTAGTTTACACCCTTATTGGTGATGTGATGGTGTTTCATCGTCATCTGGAGGAGTAAAGGATTCACTAAACTGTCGTTAGCTTTAGCTGCGAGTGTTAGCGAACACGGAGGATCTTTAGAGGGGTTGATGCTGCTTATAGCAGCTCTGCCTGCTTTAGAAAGCTGGAAAACTGGAAATATCTCACTAAGACACATTACATACTGGCTACATTTGACTTCTGATTGACTGTAATGTAAACTGAGCCGCTTCCATGCTGGCTGACTGACTTATCCACCAGGACGTAGAGCCGACCTTTACGTTTACAAATGTTCTGATTTGGTCAGAGCTGCCGTCTTGTTCTAAACCAACAAAATCAACTGAAATACTCAAAGAACACATTAGCCCAGGGGTGCTCAGTCCTGGTTCTGGTTCTGGAGATCTATCACCCTGTAGAGTTTAGCGCCAACCCTTATCTAATACACCTGCTCCAGGTAATGAAAGCCTTCGGGAACATCTGACAATTAGAGCCAGGTGTGTTGTTTCTGAATTCTCAAGGGTGGTAGATTGAGATTGAGATTAAGCACCTCTGCAGTAGCCGTTTAGCTAAGATTAGTCCAATCAGCGTAATAACCAGCTAAAGCCGAGTACAGCAGTTATTTAAAGCCGGGCTGAATATTAAACTGCAGCAAAAGCAAAATGGCTTTTAAAACAACTATCAGCCACCAACCTGATGTTTAAGCACAAGCACACTTTTAAAGTAGCTTTATTTAGAAGATAAAAGCTACTTCTGGTCAGAAATAAAGCCCTGTACACAAACCATCTCCACACTGCTGGTGATTTCAGGAACACGTGTACAGATTGTACCTCAGTCATAAGTTAATATCAGCAACTCGTCATTTCAGAGCTCAAAGGTTCTGGCGAAGAAGGAACTGGCCTACATGCCTGTAATTGGCTGGATGTGGTACTTCCTGGAGATCGTCTTCTGTAAGAGAAAATGGGAGGAGGATCGCAGGACGGTGGTGCAGAGCCTTCAGCGCCTTCAGGACTATCCAGAGAACTTCTGGGTACGTTAAAACGTTCCTGACGCTAACAATGTGGAGTGGAACCTGGTTCAGGTGTCAAATTCCATCCAGTCGATGGATGATCTAGGGGTCAGCAACACGCAGCTCTTTTACTGCCCTGTTGTGGCTCCACAGCTGAATCAGATTAGTAGGTAAAATAATAAAATAATCCTCCTTTACAGTAAAATAAAGCTCTGCTGATCGTTCAACACAGTTTAACAATAAATGGTCTTAAACTCTGGAGTTAATGTAGAACTGCTGATTCACCCTTTAACCCTGAAGATCAGCGCAGACTGCTGGTCACCATAGCAACACAGACAGCAGTCTCGCCTAGCTAGTAGCTAACGAAGCGATAATTTGGAGACGAATGGACTTTGTTTGTTTGTGTTTATAATCACTCCAGCTGGTTTCCTGGACGTTTAATCTGCAACGAAATCTCAAACAATAAAGAGACACGAGGCTGAAGTCAGTTTCTCATTCGCCAGCTTCTCGTTCGAATTGCCCCGCTCCACCTTAAATAGTGCAGCAGTTACATTCTGGCACCTCAGAAACCATTTAAGGTGGGACGGGAAAATTTAAACAACAACCAGGCGAATTAGAAGCGACTTCAGCCTCGTTTTACAAGAAACTGTTCTACTTTTGAGGAAAAGTTTCCTGCTGGAGATGTGAGAAAAGCAGCTATAGCAGAGCTAAAGCTTAAAGCAGAGCAGAGTAAGTCTGAGTTTTCATTTATATTTTTTAGTCTATACTAGTAAATCAGCACATACTGGGACACATTTACAGCCAAGATGGTAAAATGGACAGAGTTGTGGCTCCCGAGGTGGTTTGATTTTTGTTGAAAGGGGACAAAATGGCTCTTTATAACATTTCGATTGCCGATCCCTGAGCTAGTCATCCAGTCTTAGCAATGAAGTAATCTATGGATGTGCAAATTTAAGGGGGGGGGGAAGTGCATAGTTGAGTTAAAAAAGCCATCAGTCACATTTTATGACTCTAATTAAAGCCCAAATAGAAGTTTAATTAGTTTATCGTCAGCAATGACAAACAGACAGAAGCACTGATCTGCCCCACTTCTTTACTCTGATCAGCTTTTTGACTTATTAACAGTCCCTCCTCTTTCCATTTATCATATTCATGGTTATTGGGGTATTTTTGTAATAAAATATTTATAATGCAGATCAGACTAAGAATTTCAGTGACACGATGGAGGGAAATGTTATAACTGATTGTCTCTACCGAGTGTCTCTTATTCCTATTATTTGTTTTTGTGTTGTAATATTGACACATAAAGCACGAAATCCTATTAAGTGCACCGTATTTCATTTGAATCGCTGTATGTGAGCCGCAGCCTCCTGACGTCACCCCCCAACTCTTCAGACCAAATCTGGACCCTCGGGTGTCTCTCTGAGCCGCAGTGCACTGTGATTATGTCTCCTGGGTTTTGGTGTTTACTCAAGTAACGGCACTGTTTGCTTAGTTCCTCCTGTACTGCGAGGGAACCCGCTTCACCGAGAAGAAACACAAGATCAGCATGGAGGTGGCGGAGAAGAAAGGCCTCCCCAAACTCAAGCACCACCTCCTGCCTCGCACCAAGGGCTTCTGCGTCACCGCCCAGAACCTCAGAGGAACCGGTGAGAACATCACCGACCTTAAAGGGGCTGATTTTTCACTGTTTCTGCATAATTCAGTGTGAGATGTGATCAGTGGTTCAGAGGGGTTTGGTGTGAAATGGTTCAGATGTCTTTACAGTGGTGGTGATAGGAACCAGGGGTCGCCATGACTACAACACAAATATAGACATTTTATTTACTATCCAGAACCACCAGTGAACCTACACGAGTCTTCTGAGTTTATATGGAATGATGATGATGGAAAATAGTGGAAAATCTGAAATAATAAGTTTTCTTTGGGGACTATTTTGCCTCACAGCGCCCTGCATGTATCCCTCCACCATGAATGGAGTTTAAAAACGGTTTGACCCGCATCTTTTAATGATGTCCAAAATCAGTTGTAATTCATTTCTACATGATCATTTTCCAGCCTCTCTTTATCCCTTACAGTTAGACAGGCTGTTTGTTACTGCGCCTGTAAAACTGTAAATATATGTAAAACTGTAAACATATGTAAATACAGCAGAGCTGATTGGCTGCGCAGTATTGCACCTCATTCAAGTAGCAGTCTGGGCTGAAACACTCCTTATGACTTAAGTACAAATGAGTGAAGCTAAACTGCTGCAGGATGAAAAGGCGACCACATTCACACAAAAGGTCTTTCAATACAGGCTGACTTTGTGGCTTAATTTCCATATGAGGCGATATGTTTTGGACTGTTTACAGACTACATGAGCCTTTTATTTAATAAACGTGAGGTAAATTTGTTTTTCAGTGATATGGGACTTTAAAACATCAGTGAATTCATAAGCAATTCATGTAGGAACTTTCTGTGAGGGAGCTTTTAGAGGTGGACGTCTGGTTCCTATCACCACCACTGTGAACAGTTCTGACTCTAAGTTTATCTAGAACGGAGAAACACTCTGAACCACTCTGTTTACATGGTAATGATGATGGTCAAAGTCAGCTTCACTGTCATTTCATCTCATCACAGAAATTATGAAAAAATAGTGGAATTCCCTTTTAAGCAAAGTGGCCTGAAATGAGACTATTCTTTTACTACTCTTGGTCTGATTTGTAAAATAACCATCTGTATGAGATGTGGATGCTATGCTGTGCGTAGTCTGTGTGAGGACTCTGCTCTCCCTGATTCAGCTTGTGTCTCCTCTGTAGTTACTGCTGTGTACGATTCTACGCTTAATTTCAGAAACAACCAAACGCCAACCTTACTCGGAGTGCTCAATGGGAAAAAGTACCACGCCGATTTATATGTGAGGTGAGACGTCAGTATTAAAAACTTGGTGTGAAAGTTTGTGGAAAAACATTCCATGTTTTTGTTAATTACAAGTGTATAATGTGCACTATAATGGCCAAAAATTTGTGGACACCCCAACCTAATTGCTGACTTCAGGTGTTTCAGCCACACTCACCACTAACAAGTGCATAAAATCAAGTACACAGCCTTGCAGTCCCGATAGACAAACACTGGCAGTAGAACGGGTCGTCCTGAAGAGCTCAGCGGGTTTAAATGTGGCACGGTCATAGGAAGCCACAAGTCGGTTTGTGAAATCTCTGCCCTGCCAGATCCGCCCCGACCGACTGTAAGTGCTATTTTTGTTAAATGGAAGTGTCTACAAGCAACACCAGCTCAGCCACAAAGCGGTAGACCAGTCAAACTCAGAGCTGCCGAGTGCTAAACCACATAGTCTACCCTCTGTTGCATCACTGACCACAGAGTAACTGCCTCTCGAAGCAACATCAGCACAAGAACCGAGTCAGAAGCTTTATGAAATGGGTTTTACAGCCGAGCAGCTGCACACAAGCCTAAGATCACTATGTTCAATGCCAAGCGTCGGCTGGAGGGGTGTAAAGCGCCTCCACTGGACTCTGGAGCAGTGGAACCGTGTTCTCTGGAGTGATGAATCAGCTTTTCTATCTGTCAGTCTGATGATGAATCTGGGTTTGGTGGAGGTCAGGAGAACGTTACCTACCAGAATGCAGAGCCAACAGTAGAGTTTGGTGGAGGAGGGATGATGGGCTGGGCTGTTTTTCAGGGTTTGGGCCCCTCAGTTCCAGTGAAGGGTGATGTTGATGCTGCAGCACAAAGACATTTTACACAGTTCTCTGCTTCCAGCTTTGTGTCAGCAGTTTGGGGAAGAGCCTTTCCTGTTCCAGCAGGACTGAGACCCTGAGCACAAAGCAGCTCCATAAAGACATGGAGTGACCAGTTTGGTGTGGAGGAACTCCAGTGGCCTCACAGAGCCCTGACCTCAACCCCACTGAACACCTTTGCGATGATCTAGAACGGAGATTGTGAGCCAGACCCCCTCGTCCAACATCAGTGTCTGACCTCACAAATGCTCTTTAGACTGAATGGACACAGATTCCCACAGACTCTCCAACATCCTGTAGAAGCTTCCCAGAAGAGTGGAAGCTGTTAGAGCTGCAAAGGGGGACCAACTCCATATTAATGCCCATGGTTTAGGAACGGGACGTCCAACAAGCTCATAGAGGAGTGACAGGTGTCCACACAGTTTTGGCCACATTGTGTACATTATGAAGTCTTTTTTGAATCTTTTCCAGTTTAAACTTCCACTTAATGAACAGAACACAGCCTCATCCATACCGAGGTGTGAATGTTTGTTGAGGGCAGTGTGGATTTATCAGGTCTGTATGTGTGTGCTTGATGTAGGCGGATTCCTCTGGACACAGTCCCAGAGAACGAGTCTGAATGTGCTGCCTGGCTGCACAAACTCTACCAGGAGAAGGTGAGAGGAACACGTGCCTTTCCTTATTGAGAAAGACACTGTGAAACTACTGTTTTGAAAGCATTGTTATGCGTGCCCCCTACTTCTCTGCATTCCTCTGCAGTTTAAGGGCAGTGGCTGACACCAGCTTAACTACTGGAGGAATGTGTGGTCTGAAAAAACAGTGAGGAACAGTGATGTTGGTACATGTAGGAGACATGAGCGATTACTCAGTAGGCTGCTGTTAGCGCTGCATGACTGTCTGCCGTGCATAAGAAACAATAAACTCAGCATTCCACGAATAAATATCTCGCCACTTATCCTCAGTACGTTAAGCTATGTCGCCAGGAGCATTTCAGAACAGACACAGCTGCTCAGTGCCAATCATGAGTGGCTACAAGTACTAAAACCAGCCAGTTCACTGATGTGATGCTCTTAACGAGCTCACTGGTTCTGAAAAACTGGATCGTAAATGGTGTTGATAAAGCAGTCTGAATACTGAATGCCCTGTCCTTAATGTATTCAGTAACATGTTCCATTACAGTGCACGCCGTGACGGTTCCTACTGTCTGTTTTCCCAGGACGTCTTCCAGGAGCAGTACAGCCAGACGGGCCGCTTCCCCGGCCCCATAGTGAGCCCCCCGCGCCGACCCTGGCCTCTGCTCAACTGGCTGTTCTGGGTCTGCCTGCTGCTCTGCCCGCTCTGCCTGCTAGTGCTGCAGCTGTTCCACTCAGGATCAGCCGTCACTGTCGTCACCACAGCTGTTCTCTGTGTTGCAGGTAATGGGGGGAGGTGCTGAGGGGGAGTAAAACTAAAGTTATATAGTTGCATGCAAAAGTTTGTGCCCCCCTGGTCCCAATTCTCTACAGAGAACACACTTTTTAGTATTACTGGGAAAAATCAAACATTTTAGCACAGGCCACATTTCATGGCACATTAATTTAATTAAATGCAATTAAACAAAATTTTACTAAAATTTACAGTAACAGCCGAGCAACCCCTTAGCAACCACCCGGGATACCATAGCAACAGCCTTATAACTTCTTAGCAACCACATTGAATAACATAGCAACACCTTAGCAACCACCTGGGATACCACAGAAATGGCCTAGCAAAACACCTTAGCGACAAACTGGGATACCATAGAAATGGCCTAGCAACACCTTAGCAACCACCTGGGATACCATAGTAACGGCTTTGGTCCAGCCAGCTTTAACTTTGGCCGTCTGTGTAAGCGTGCTCTCTGTAGACCAGGGGTGTTCAAACTTTTGCATACGACTGACTATATGAATGCAGTACAGTTAGAGTCGTTATAACTGACCTGTTTAAACTGCCGTTTACTGTGAATTTGCATTTTAAAACCTAAACGAAAAGATTTCACTCCGGAGGTGGTGGAGTGCCGAGGGAGTAAGTACATCACCTCCCGTTCTACGCACTGCGGTTTTATGCATGAGGCTTGAAGGGAACTGCATGGACGGTGCATGTGCTGAGCGGAACCTCCTAACGGGAGACGACTTTTAAAGGAACGTCCAGGACTCTCTCTGTTCTGCTCTGCTCTTTCTCTGCCGGTTGGTCACTGCTGGTGTTAGCAAGATGGAAATAACTGAAGTGATGGAAATGATTTCATTTCATTTGGCATTTAAAAAATGATATATCATAACAGATCATGCGACACCACGACAGCGTAACGGGACCTTATTAAATAATAACGGCATGCATATCAACTGAGAGCAAGAACGAGCCCTGAGACGGTAAACAGAGCACTGTTCTTTCATCCCTGCACCAACAGGGAATCCTACAACCAGGGCTGCGTTTAGACAGCGGGGCAAACTCTGTTTTTTCTTTTGTGATGTTTTATATGCTGGCAGAATGTTGATTACATTTGAAGGTCGTCCAAATCTGAATTTGAAGAAAGGACTTACTGTGTAAAAAGATCAGACACACGTCAGAAACGTGAGAAGATAAAACAGATCTGCTTGTCTGTCTAAGGCCGTGTTCAGACTGACAGCCCAAATCTGATTTCTGTCATATCCAGATTGGATCCAGATTGATTTTTGATAATCTGAACAGCAAAAAAACACATCAAATCTGATTTTTGCGAATCAGATCCAAACCACATTTAGAGGTGGTTTGAAATGGGACTCCAGTCAGATTTTTACAGACGTGTCTTAGTCTGGACGCTCTGGACACTCAACTGACGCCTACGTCGTTACCACGGCAACCCGTACAGATAGACTGGTGATGTCTGGACGCACTAATCTGATCTGATCACTCGCAGATAACAGAGCGGACAGTCGACTCAGAAGATCTGATTTGAGAGACAGATCCGATTTACCTGCAGTCTGAACACAGTAAAGCCCAGAGAGTCACATCAGTTAACTCAGTAAAACCTGAGATGCTTTTTCTTTTGCCTCGTCATCTTCACATAAGATTAATAAGACACTTATTAATCACACATGAAACCTCACAAGCAGCGAAAAGGTGGAAATATTCAGTTCAACTACTGTACATGTCCATGTACTGGTTTCTACAAGCTTAGAAAAGAAGGTTCCACAAGGGTTCTTTAGTAAAGAAAATGGATTTATATAGAACCATGACCACACAGTTCATCAACGGCCTAGCAACTCCTTAGCAACCACCTGGGATTGAATAGCAACAGCCTTAGCAACCACCTGGGATAGCATAGCATCAGTCTAGTGCCACCTTAGCAACCACATGGGATAGCATAGCATCAGTCTAGTGCCACCTTAGCAACCACATGGGATAGCATAGCATCAGTCTAGTGCCACCTTAGCAACCACCTGGGATACCACAGAAATGGCACAGCAACACTGGAAGGTGAGGAGTTTGCATGCATGATTACTGCGATACTGCTCGAGTCTAGAGACTGACAGACTGAGTTTGCTGTGAAGCTGCCAGTAGGAGACGCTAACGTCCCTGTTCCTCCTTTTTCAGCCTCAGCTGCCGTTCGCTGGATGATCGGACAGACCGAGATCAACAAGGGCTCCAGCTACGGAAACAAAGAGGTTCTACTCAATAACAACGACTAATGGCGCAAAGTCACCAGCCGAGGCAGCACGGCGTGGCTAACGTAATCAGCGTGCACACCGGAGCTTGACACCGAGAGCACAAGTGGACCAACACACGGGCAGTTCACCGGTGAAAAAAGGACAAAATAACTGACCTCACAATCTGGCTGGTTCACTAATGACACCTGGGCTGCGTTCAGGCTCAGCGAAAAGTGGCCCGTTTCCCTTTAAGGGCCCGATTCTGATCTGGTTTTTGGTTGTTCACATTTTCTTTTGAATGCTGGGACGGGATTGGTTTACAGGAGGAGGTGGGTGATGTAATCATTAAGTGTTTCTCAGTGATTTGGTCCTGTCTGAATGCGCTGTCTGTCAAAAAATACCCTCAGCTGATATTAATAATGCACAAACCGACATGTCAGTAAAAACTCTGCCACATCCTGTGGAAACAGTTTCTGAAGTTTGGAGGCTCGAAGAGGCGCTTTCTCACGCCCTGTTTAAAAAACACAGCACCCATTAAACGTTTCTGTTGGTTTTGTAATGTGTTTTGTCTTTTTTTAATGGGTTGATATCACAGTGTAAAGGATCTTATGTTTGCACAGGTGACCAGTGGCTGATTCTGAATGCATCTGATGGTTTTCTAATGGGATTTACATTTACATTTATGGCATTTTGGCAGACGCTCTTATCCAGAGCGACTTACAGTGTGATCATTTTACACAGGTGGGTGAAGGTGGTGTTAGGAGTCTTGCCCAAGGACTCTTATTGGTATAGTGTAGGGTGTTTACCAAGGTGGGGTTTGAACCCCAGTCTACAGTGTAGAAGGCAGAGGTGTTACCCACTACACCATACCAACCACACAATGGGCTCTAAAGGGGTTCTACAGGAAAATAGTGGTCTGTATTAGAAACCAATTTCCATTAGAAAGCAGTTTTTAGCAGGGTGTTCTCTGCTTTGTATTCACCAGATTCTTATTCCAATTTTCCCGTTCCACCTTAAACGGTGCAGCAGTTATGTTCTGGCACCTCTGGCTCGCCTCAGTACCTGCTGCATCATTTAAGGTGGAACCTAGGAAGCCACTTCAGCCTCACTGTTCTCTGAGGCTAAAATCAGGCTGATATGTAAGGCTGCGGTCCTGCCTCACCGGTACAGCTCAGAACATAAACATTACAGAAGAAAGTCTGATTTTATGCGGTGAAGTTGACTGTTGGCTGTGATTTCGGGTTAATAGTGATGCTAATGAGGACTGTGTTCACTTAAGATGCAACACAGCGGCTAAATGAAATGTTTAACATCTGTTCTGGAGTAAAGAGTAGCCGATCCATCTCTGTCCTTTATACTGAGGTTTCTAATCCTGTTCAAATCACTCAAACACTGCAGACGTCCTGGGGTAAACTGGTATCACCCCCCGCCTCCCTGCGGAGAACTAACCCCGTCCCAACAGGGCTAACGCGGCCTGTATCTGACCTCAGTCTGAACAGATCTGACCTGACCTCTACCCCAGACACAGCTCTGCCCTACACTTCCTTAAGATTAACCGACTCCCATAATGCAACACTGAACTGTAACGTGTGTAAACTGATGCTGTAAGCTTTAAACACCAAAACAACCACACTGGACAAGTTTATAGAAGAGAGAAGAGTAAAAACAGTGAATATCTGGGCTTGTTTTAATTTTGGAAGCAGAGAAAGGAAGAGAAAAGTCTGTCTGTTTGGATTCTGTTGTTAGAAAGTGGCTTGTTTACTTGTTTACACTGTCCACGCTTGTGTTGCTCTTCCTCCAAAATGAACGATGTGAAATGTAACCATAGCAACACGTGTTTTGATGACGCTGCATAAAGGATTCTTTCCGTGCACAAAATAATGATGAAGATTGAGCTGGATTGTCACATGACTGTTCAGACAGACATCACACACATCACATTTATGAAAGTGGCTCAAATCAGAACTGAAAAAATCAGATTCAGGGTTTTTCGGCTGTTCACACATGAAGAATCGGATCGATTCGGGCGACTTCTCCCTGCAGTGTGAACGCAGCCGTGGACAGTCGTGTGCGGCGGCGTGCGGACTTTCAAAAAGACGCTGCAGGCCGTTCTTTAAAAACTCATCTGTTTATTAATTATTATCTCTTTACATTGCAAACACTATAGGAACAACAGAGGACCAGAAAGGTTGATGCCTGGATTGGAGGGGGTCTCCACAGTTAGGGTTCAGACACACGGTCAGCGTGATGGTCGTCGGCTGAGATGGTTGTGAGGGGACGTGTGAACGTGGCCCGAACTGAAGAGAACTGAGACTGGAATCGAACCGAAAAGATCTGAATGCTTTCTGTCCAGACATCATGGGGAACAGAGGACACGGGGTTGATTGCCTAACAAATCTAAATGAAGCCTCTGTGGGAATGGGATGGTCTGTGTCCATGTTCAGCAGCAGAGAGTAAGTCGCTCTCGTTGGCGATCTTGAAGGCACACCATTGGCCAGTTAGAGAGGTGGACCAATACATCACTTAGAACAGGCTAGAATACAACTCACCGGCGGGCTGTGCAGCAAAGGCCAAATAAACACTGATTACAATATTAAAAACAAACAACCCTTTTCCCTTCATTGACTTCTAGACCTTTCTCTGACCCCTGAGGCCGAAACTCATACTCAGCTTTATGGCGTCGGGGATGAACTCATAATAATAAACTCATAAACTCATAAGCAGTGATTTCCTCACAGGGGAATTCCACTGTTTATCTCTTTCTTAGATTTCTGCATAATTCAGTGTTTAAGATGCAAGTGGTTCAGAGTGGTTCTCCGTTCTAGATAAACTTAGAGTCAGAACTGTTCACAGTGGTGGTGATAGGAACCAGACGTCCACCTCTAAAAGCTCCCTCACAGAGTTACTACAGTAAATGGTTATGAATTCACTGCCTGATGACTGAGACACTGTTTTATGATAGTTTAGAGAACTTAAACTCCATTCATGGTGGAGGGATACATGCAGGGCGCTGTGAGGCAAAATAGTCCCCAAAGAAAACTTATTATTTCAGATTTTCCACTATTTTCCATCATCAACATTCATATAAACTCAGAAGACTCGTGTAGGTTCACTGGTGGTTCTGGATAGTAAATAAAATGTCTATATCTGTGTTGTAGTCATGGCGACCCCTGGTTCCTATCACCACCACTGTAAAGACATCTGAACCGTTTCACACCAAACCACTCTGTTTACGTCTCAAACGCTGAATTTTGCAGACAGGTGGACTTGCCCTTCGAGCTCCTCGTTCTGCTTCTCCAGCTCTGAGACTACAGCACGCGCCCTTTGTGCTTTGAGGCAACAGCTTTCCGGAAAAGTGCCCTTTGTTCTTTCTCGTTTCCTTCGTGTAAAATGTCTTCCTTGTTGCTTGTTAATCTGAATTCTTTGCCTCCACTGAGACAGAAGTGGCTTTACAATAAGCTTTATACAAAAGATAAACCCTAAACATATTCTTACAGTATGTACATCACGCCTCCTCCCGCCTGCTACCGCCGCCCTCCTTCCACACACCCGCCCTTTAATCTACTACCTGTACACGTAAGACTTTCTCTCTCTCACGCCTCCCAAACGGTCCCATCGCCGGAGAGGTTTACAGTCCTTCGTCGTCACTCATTAACGAGACCACAGTTCCTTGAGAATACCGTACACAGTAGTGCTAGCATTTTGTAAACGTAAAGAGAACGCAGAGCCGCCTCCCGCGTCATTCCTCGTCCGTGCACACCTGGAATTCAAAGAGAAAGGCATGGGTGAACGCAGGCAGGTGGAAAGATCAATCAGAGTACAGACTGGAACGGTTCATCACCCTGACTCTACAGCTCCGATACGCTTCCATGGCTCAGGACAGGAGGGGAAATAAGAGTCCACTGATTTTTCACAAATTCTCAATAATTAAACGGTTAAGATGTAAACAGAGTCACTCAGAGTGGTTTGGTATGCAGTGGTTCAGATTTCTTCACAGTGGTGGTGATAGGAACCAGACGTCCACCTCTAAAAGCTCCCTCACAGAGTTACTACAGGAAATGGTCATGAATAATGGTTAAACTAATGGTTCCTGCCTCGCACGGCCTTTACACTGACCTGCTACGCTCGCCTGCTGGGACAGTTCATTACAGTAGCTGGTTTCTAAACTAAGGAAACCTAAACTAATGGGTCCTGTCTAAAAGTGACCTCTGCACTGGACAAAATATTTATCACTGACCTTTACACTCAATCTACCGATCAGTGCTTTTTGAATAAGGAAAAAGATGATTTGTCCTGCCCGTCTGATGTTCGAGACTTTTAGATTTTGGCCTTAATATATATATATTAAATCCATTCATGGTGGAGGGATATATGCAGGGTGTTATGAGGCAAAATAGTCCCCGAAGAAAACGTATTTTTCCAGATTCATCACTACATTATGTGTAAAAGTTGAGGAGACACATGTAGCTTCACTGGTCATTTGGGACTGTAAAAATGGCTATACTGAGTGACCCCAAACATGCAGTAAGACCACTGACAACCAAGTTCAGATTCATTTTTACACTTTACTCATATACATTTAACGAAATGAAACTCCACCATTATTAGTCACACTGGGCAGTTTATTACCACATGGTCAGCTCGCTGAGTTCAGGCTGAAAGATATGAGGTAAAAAGTCTAGAGCTGAGCTAACAGACCACACTGTAAGCCCCTGTGATCCACTGTGGCTTTCTGTGTCTCCCTGTGGCTTTAAGTTGATGAGGTAAAATGCTGAGAGTCACTGAAAATCAGCGCTTGAACTTTTGGACCCTGTGTGACGCGTCCGGCTTGCGGTGGTCCGGCTTACGTTTCTCTACAATTAACCATTTCACACCAACCTGCTCTGGGTGACTGAGGAATTTTGAAAAATCGGTGGACTTCCCCTTTAAGTTCACAATTTACATTTACCCAAAAAGAACTATGAGTGTGAGAGAGGGAGGGGGTCTCAGACCTTGACGAAGGGATGGTCCAGCAGTGCGCTGGCAGTCCAGCGGCGTTTGGGCTCGCTCTCCAGACAGTGGGTCAGGAAATCTTTCCCCTCTGTGCTCAGCTTCTCTGGGATGGGGGGCTTGTGGCCCATGCCCACCTTATACATGATCTGGAAGTTGTGCTCATACTCGTGCCACGGTCTCTGAACAGCGAGAGGAGGAAAGGTGTGGGTGAGGCTGAGGAACATCACTGAACATCACACAGGAAAAAGCAGACATTTCGTCCCCTCGGAGTCACCAGGTTCTGACGGACACCTGTCCAGATTATTCAGTCGTCTCCTGTGACATCACTACGCGAGGTGGTTTTTAAGTGGCAGAGAAAAAGGTTCTATCTCCAAAATCAAACTCTTTACTTAGTACCTCAGTTCTATAAGGTTCTATCTGTGAGCCAATCAGCACTTTGAACACACACAAGAGGACCAATCGGTTTCTGTCCGCTCTGCTCAGTGAACTCTTTAAAAAGTCTTACATTTTAGAAATATTAAACCACTAAATACTGAACATGTGAACTGATGGGCTCTTAATTACAACATGAACATTCGTTTCATTCTTTCATCCACCTTTTCTTTTCACATGTCTGATATAAAACTAAACCTCACAGGGCCTTTCGACTGACCTGTTACACTGGCCGGCTGCACTGACCTGCTGGGACAGTTTATTACAGCAGCTGTTTCTGTCTGACTAAAGGAAACTTAAGCTAATGGTTCCTAAAACTGACCTCTGCACTGGACACAATGTTTAGCCCTGACCTTTAGACTTGATCTGCAATGCTCTTTTAAAGAAGAAAAAGATGATTTGTCCTAAAACATAAACGAATAATGAAATAAACCTCATAAAACTGTCAGAGAAAGCTGTAGATTTCACTCTCGCATCACTCTCTTACACTAATTAAACAAATCAGGAGGAGAAACTGTTCCGTCCATCGCTTCTTTTCATGTTCCGCCAGGCAGAACCTTATAACTCCAATCCGAAAGGGAGCTCTTAGGATTAGAGGGTGTCGGTCATGGTCATGTATTAAAGAGACGTTTCCACAAATCAGTTCTGCTGTTTGGAGTGTGAAATCTTTAAAACTCAATATCTGAAACTGCTCAGAACGCAGAGAGAACCTTATAATTCCAAGGGGACGATGTATGCCAGGGTAATTATATATATATATATATATATATATATATGGCTGCTGTCAGAACAAAACCTAGTATGTCCATTTTTGACATTTTTCAGTTTTTGACAGAATTTGAAAATCCCTTTTGTCCTTTGCATTATGCATGAATTTCATGATGAATGGACCAAAAGAAACGGCCGAAAATGGCTTGTGAAGACGTCTGGTTCCATTGACTTACATTAAAAGAAGAGTATGTTTTTTCCGTCTCCTGTAAAGTTACCATTTTGGAGACACGCTGTGTTCCGACAGCAGCGATATACGAAAGTGCTACAGGACACTCACTGTAAGCACGACTGACCTGTAAATATTCCCTGAAGCTGAAAGGCTTTAAAATGTCATTTTTTGTCTGTAACATTTCTAAGATCTGTGGAATCGTTAATCAAAACAAAGCACTCCTGATCCTGAATACTGAGTGAAGGCAGTTTGTTTACAGCCGTACTGCGATAAGAGCTCTCAGAGTTATTTCCTTCTGCTTGTCAAGTCAGGTCAAAGTTCGTTTGAATAGCTCCTCTTATAACAGGTGTTGTCACAAAGCAGCTTTACAGAAAAATCCGGGTCTGAGCCCCTCTGAGCGTCGCCAGTGGTGACAACGGCAAGGAAAACTCCCTGAGAGCAAAGAAGAAGAAATACTGACTCAGAAGGGGAACCCATCCTCCTCTGGACCACAGCAGATGGTGAACAATAACACAAGATTATGAACAGGCGCTCATATTTCTGACCAACGGAGGCAAAACAACACCTTCAGCACTGTTTATGGTCCTCTGTTCACCTAAAGGGGGGAATCGGGGGGGTCAGAGAGGGTCAGTCCTGCTCATCACTGTGTCACGTCCATCATCTGTAACTCGATCTTTCACTGAGTTATGAAGCCTAAACTCAATATGTATGAATCATTTCACTGAATCAGTTCAGAATGCGCTCCCAGCGTAAACACTGTCGATATTCACAGTGATGGTGTTCTGATCTGTTTGAACCCAACATGAACACAGACAGTCATAATCTAAATACACACACAATCATCGTTTATAGGGCTCTTTCTGCTGGGAGGAGTCTGTCCCAAACACCAACCCCTAAATTTACACTTCTGACAATAATACTGACATTAAATTAAATGATGTGAATAAATACTGTTTGATCTTTTTGCTTTCTTTTAAACTGAAGCTGAAAGATTCAGATTTATCATCAGCTCAGTTTTTAGATTAAAAAAGCTTTACTGAAAAATGAAGAAATGGTTCTTCAGACTGATGGAGAATGTGTTGTCAGGTTCTATATGGCACCAAAAAGGGTTCTGCTATCATTATGATGTCAAGCTTGTAACAACAGCAGAACTTTTTTTGGTGCTACACAGAAAGGTTCTATGTGGAACCATATATATCACATTCACCATCAATCTGAAGAACCGTTCTGCCGTACAAATGCGATGGTTCTTTGCATTTACCAACTGCCTTTACTAAAGAACCCTTGAGGGATCTTTTTAAGCATGTGGGCGGAGCCTTATTTTAGCCCCGCCCCTGCATTTCAGAGCAGGAAGTGAGGCTGCATCCCTGTCCCTCTTGGCCACATGGTGAGCAGTTAGATCCCATTGTTTTGAAGTAAATGAGTCCCAAAGTCTGAAAGTCAGTGTGGAACATTAAGAATCGCCAGATTTTCTGCAGTTCAGCACTTTTTAGTGTTTTAATGAACTGCTGAGTTTCAGAGCTCAGAATGAGCTAAAACTGTCACTGAAACAGACACTACTGAAACAGACACTACTGAAACAGTCACTACTGAATTAGTCACTACTGAAACAGTCACTACTGAAACAGACACTACTGAAACAGACACTACTGAAACAGTCACTACTGAATTAGTCACTACTGAAACAGACACTACTGAAACAGACACTACTGAATTAGACACTACTGAAACAGACACTACTGAATTAGTCACTACTGAAACAGACACTACTGAATTAGTCACTACTGAAACAGACACTACTGAAACAGACACTACTGAATTAGTCACTACTGAAACAGACGCCACTGAAACAGACGCCACTGAAACAGTCGCTACTGACACAGACGCTACTGAAACAGTCACTACTGAATTAGTCACTACTGAAACAGACACTACTGAAACAGACACTACTGAAACAGTCACTACTGAATTAGTCACTACTGAAACAGACACTACTGAATTAGACACTACTGAAACAGACACTACTGAATTAGTCACTACTGAAACAGACACTACTGAAACAGACACTACTGAAACAGACACTACTGAATTAGTCACTACTGAAACAGACGCTACTGAAACAGACGCCACTGAATTAGACACTACTGAAACAGACACTACTGAATTAGTCACTACTGAAACAGACACTACTGAATTAGTCACTACTGAAACAGACGCCACTGAAACAGACGCCACTGACACAGACGCCACTGACACAGACGCCACTGACACAGACGCTACTGACACAGACACTACTGAAACAGACGCCACTGAAACAGACGCCACTGAAACAGACGCCACTGAAACAGTCACTACTGAAACAGTCACTACTGAAACAGACACTACTGAATTAGTCACTACTGAAACAGACACTACTGAATTAGTCACTACTGAAACAGACACTACTGAAACAGTCGCTACTGAAACAGACGCTACTGAAACAGACGCTACTGACACAGACGCTACTGAAACAGACGCTACTGACACAGACGCTACTGAAACAGACGCTACTGAAACAGACGCTACTGAAACAGTCGCTACTGAAACAGACGCTACTGAAACAGACGCTACTGAAACAGACGCTACTGACACAGACGCTACTGAAACAGACGCTACTGACACAGACGCTACTGAAACAGACGCTACTGAAACAGACGCCACTGAAACAGTCGCCACTGAAACAGACGCTACTGACACAGACGCCACTGAAACAGACGCCACTGAAACAGACGCCACTGAAACAGACGCTACTGACACAGACGCTACTGAAACAGACGCTACTGAAACAGACGCTGACACAGACGCTACTGAAACAGACACTACTGAAAACAGTCACTACTGAAACAGTCACTACTGACACAGACGCTACTGACACAGACACTACTGAAACAGACGCTACTGACACAGACGCTACTGACACAGACGCTACTGAAACAGTCGCTACTGAAACAGTCGCTACTGAAACAGACGCTACTGAAACAGACGCTACTGACACAGACGCTACTGAAACAGACGCTACTGAAACAGACGCTGACACAGACGCTACTGAAACAGACGCTACTGAAACAGACGCTACTGACACAGACGCTACTGAAACAGACGCTACTGACACAGACGCTACTGAAACAGACGCTACTGAAACAGACGCCACTGAAACAGACGCCACTGAAACAGACGCCACTGAAAGTCGCCACTGAAACAGTCACTACTGAAACAGACGCTACTGACACAGACGCTACTGAAACAGACACTACTGAAACAGACGCCACTGAAACAGACGCCACTGAAACAGACGCCACTGAAACAGACACTACTGAAACAGACACTACTGACACAGACGCTACTGAAACAGACGCTACTGAAACAGACGCTGACACAGACGCTACTGAAACAGACACTACTGAAAACAGTCACTACTGAAATAGTCACTACTGAAACAGTCACTACTGAAACAGTCGCTACTGAAACACCTGGTACAGTTTGGTAGAGTTATGGTTGATCTGGAATGTTCAGTCATTAATTTTAATAAAATGATCAGAATTAAGGTTTAGAGTCACTCAGAGCAAAAGAGTTTAGTCTAAAGTCCTGAATGTGTTTCGGCTCTGACTCTGAACCAGTTCAGCAGAATCATCTGTGTTACAGGGGATGAAGAGTGGATTTGGGCCAGATTACTCAAACGACCTGACGATGTGAAATGAGTGACCTTAGAAGACACTAAGTGACCAACACTGCTGAAGAACACTTACTTTTCCAGTGACCATCTCGATGAGAACACAGCCGAGACTCCAGATGTCAGCCGCGCGCCCGTGACCTTCACCCTTCGCCCTTGTGATGACCTCAGGAGCCATGTACGCTGACGGAGAAGGAGTTCGGAGTTATTCTCAGTTAGAATCACAGAATCTTACCCTCCATTTAATCTGGTACTTCAGGAGGAATGAGCTCAGCTGAGCTGGCAGCACAGGGGTTTGTCCACCAGAGTTTGGGATGATTTCACACTGCACCCAATTAAAGACGTGGGTGTTCAGTGATCGGCCAGAAACCCAGCTGAGATAGAGGCGCTCTGATATTCTCACATTAGAACCAAAAAACTAAATACAACTAAAACGTTTACGTTTCTCCAGCCTATCAGTGTGAAAAACCCAGATCTGTCACATATTTGATACAAACATATTATCTTATGCCTACTTCAGATTAAGAGTTCCACCATTTTTTAAAAATCCCCCATAATTCAGTGTGTGAGATGTACACAGAGAGGTTCAGAGGGGTTCGGTGTGAAACGGTTCAGATGTCTTTACAGTGGTGGTGATGGGAACCAGGTGTCGCCATGACTACAACACAGATATAGACATTTTATTTACTATCCAGAACCACCAGTGAACCTACACGAGTCTTCTGAGTCTATATGGAATGTTGATGATGAAAATAGTGGAAAATCTGAAATAATAAGTTTTCTTTGGGGACTATTTTGCCTCACAGCGCCCTGCATGTATCCCTCCACCATGAATGGAG